TGCAGGTCACTGAGAGACAAACTGACCTAGAAAAAGGAAATACCCAGCCAAATGCAGGACTATAGGACTCTTCCTCCCGCCCGCCCCCCCCACCTTACTAACAGAGCTCTTGTATAATAACAGGGGAATACAACTGAGAGACCTGCACATCTCAGACTGTATTTAAGAAGTCTCTAGGGAACACCAAAGCCAACAGGGGAGACAATAATAAGGACACCAGGGAAATTTTTGCCTCTGATACCTACAGGTACAGCAAACAATAAAAAACAACCTAATCCCTGGCCAAATAAACATGAAACCTCACATTTATTTACCTCAGTTCCTTTTATTCATACATTTTACTTTCAACAAAAAACTACATGGCACACTACAAGACAAAAGAACACAATTTGAAGAGACAGAGCAAGCATCAGAACCAGACTCAGATACATCAGAGATATTGGAATTATCAACCAGCAATTTAAAACAACTATAATCAATGTGATAAGGGCTCTCATGGAAAATGTGGACAATATGAAAGAACAAGTGGATAATGTAAACAGAGAGAGAGAAATTCTAAGAACCAACCAAAAAGAAAGGCTAGAAATAATAATTTAAAAAAAAACACTGTAACAGAAATGAAGAATGTCTTTGATGGGTTCGTCTACAGACTGGGCATGGCTGAGGAAATAATTGGTGAACTTGATGAAATTGCAATAGAAATTTCCAAAATTGAAATGGAAAAATTAAAAAGAATGAAAAAAAATAGAACAATATTCAAGAAATGTGGGCCAATTACAAGAGGTGTAGCATATACATAATAAGAATAGCAGATAGAGAAGAAAATAAAGGAACAGAAAAAATGAAGACATAATACCAGAATTTCCCCAAATTAACAATAGACACCAAACACAGATCCAGGAAGCTCAGAGAACAAGAAGCAGGAAAAATACCTGTCAACTTGAAAATCACACAATTTATAAATTTAGAAAGGAGACTACTTCTTATAAATGGTTACAGGCTGAGCCGGGCGTGGTGGCTCAGGCCTGTAATCCTAGCACTCTGAGAGGCCAAAACCGGTGGATCATTTGAGCTCAGGAGTTTGAGACCAGCCTGAGCTAGAGCGAGACCCTGTCTCTACTAAAAAAATAGAAAGAAATTAGTTGGACAACTAAAAGTATATATATAAAAAATTAGCTGGGCATGGTGGTGCATGCCTGTAATCCCAGCTACTTGGAAGGCTGAGGCAGTAGGATTGCTTGAGCCAGGAGTTTGAGGTTGCTGTGAGCTAGGCTGGCGCCATGGCACTCTAGCCCGGGCAACAGAGTGAGACTCTGTCTCAAAAAAAAAAAAAAAAAAAAGGTTACAAGTGGCAAGGAGGTCAACCTGACAGGCTAGGAAGGGTAGCCTCTGGCAGAGACAGAAAGGCAGGCACTTCCAGGAAGGTGAGGGTGGAACGGAGATTTATGCTGAATGGCTTGGCCAAGTGTACATATTCAACAGGTCATAGGAAGAGCTATAAATATCCATGAAAGGGAATAATATGAATGCATGACAAACTAACATTCATGTCACATATGACCCATCTTCACTTAGGGGTGGAGACTTAACATTTAAGTTTATTACAACTAGGCCCTAGACATCAGAAGGTGAAGCAGGGACATGAATGCATTCAAATATGCAGCCTCTGTAAAACAGCCACAACCAGGCTGTGTGGTCTTCTTACTAGGAGAAAGTTACTGAAATTAGCCTCTCATCTAATCAAATCTGTAATTATAGCTCCTGGAACAGGGAGGTCAGCCAGGGTCTGGGGGTGAATGAGCTACAATTGTTTTAATATTGCTTACCTCAAGACTAGTGCTTGTTATCAGCTTGTTCTTAAAAAAAAAAAAAAAAATGAAAATAAAAAGTAAGAAAGAAAAAAGACCAGAGCTTGTTTAGCTGCTAGAGAAAAACTTTGTGGCAATTAGAACACAGTTAATTCTTTTTTTTTTTTTTTTTTTTGAGACAGAGTCTCACTGTGTTGCCCACGCTAGAGTGCCATGGTATCAGCCTAGCTCACAGCAACCTCAAACTCCTGGGCTCAAGCCATCCTCCTGCCTCAGCCTCCCGAGTAGTTGGGACTACAGGCATGCACCACCATGCCTGTAGCCCACTATGTCCGGCTAATTTTTTCTATATTTTTTTAGTTGGCCAATGAATTTCTTTCTATTTATAGTAGAGACGGGGTCTTGCTCTTGCTCAGGCTGGTTTCGAACTCCTGACCTTGAGTGATCCACTCACCTTGGCCTCCCAGAGTGCTAGGATTACAGGTGTGAGCCACCACTCATGGCCAACAGTTAATTACTTAAGTGTAGGTATGTGAGACTTGACTCTTGTCTGGCATGGCCTTAGGTCCTATTTATAATTTGGTATCTTATTGCCACAAAGGGTCCATTCTGTCAGTCCTATGATTTCTGAATTCTGTTTTAACAATCATTCTGGTCAGTTGTTGTGCCTAAACCACAAAAGGGAGGAAGTATAACAAGGCACGTCTGACCTCCCATTCTGTCATGTCCGGGAACTCAGTTTTTAATTTTCTGCAGAGTGAATATGATATCCCTAGTTGTAGATTTTTTAATTTTAATGTTTGGTATATAAACTAAAAATCGTTAAAAGACTGAGAAGGGGCCAGGCACAGTGGCTCACACCTGTAATCCTAGCACTCTGGGAGGCCGAGGCAGGCAGATCGTTTGAGCTCAGGAGTTCGAGATTAGCCTGAGTAAGAGCGAGACCCCATCTCTACTAAATATAGAAAGAAAGTAGCTAGACAACTAAAAATATATATAGAGAAAATTAGCCAGGCATGGTGGCTCACGTCTGTAGTTCCAGCTACTCAGGAGGCTGAGGCAGGAGGATTGCTTGAGCCAGGAGTTTGAGGTTGCTGTGAGCTAGGTTGGCCCTGGCACTCTACTCAGGCAAAGCAAAGGAGTCAGACTCTCAAAAAAAAAAAAAAGACAAATTTGAAAGACTGGGAGGTAGAGTTATGTGGCAACAATCTTATCTATAGATGAACAAGTGTAAGAATTGCCTCAGACTTCTTTTCAGAAACTATGCAAGCAAGATGAGAATGTTAGGTCTATCTTGATGTTCCCTGTCCTTGGTTCCCAGTGTCAAGAGTGAGTACTGGTACCAAGCTGAGCTGATGACGAAGTGATCACAAATACATAGCAATCCCACACAAAGTTTATTACAGAAAAGAAAGAAACTAAACAAAGTGAAAGTAAAGGAAGATACTCAAAGTGGAAAAAAGACATTGAGGACACCCAAGTAGTTTCCTTTTATTGGCCTGGTCCTGGGGAGGGCTTACAGGAGGTGTGAGATAGTACCAAATGATTATGAGGTGTTCTCCATTTCCTGTAGTCCCTTCTCCTGACTGGTCCCCCCAGCTTCTCTAGCCCTAGGAACCAGCTCCCTGGCCTACACCCACCACCTGCAGATTTGATCCCTACCTAAAAAGAGTGGAGTATTTAAAGTGTTTAAGGATAAAAAAAAGTCTATCAACACAGAATTCTGCGTCCAGTGAAATTATCCTTCAAAAGGCAAGGAGAAATACTTTGTCAAACGATCAAAAGCGAGGGAATTTGTAGACTTGCCCTGCAAGACATATTAAAATAAATTCTTCAGAAAGAAGGAGAACAATATAGGTCAGAAACTCAGATCTACATAAAGAAAAAAAGAATATTAGAGAAGGAATAAATGAAGGTAAAAAGAAAAATAACTAGAATTTCTCACATGTCCAATTGGGGTACTTTGGGATTGGGTGTTTCAGGGGCCGTTAAATGTGTGGATCGGCTCAGAAGACTGATCTGCGGTGGAGACTAGGAAGCGTGAGCCATTAGCTCCGGAATGGAAGAGATGGACCAAAGAACAAGCAATTTCACTAAATCCTTGTAAGGTGGTCAAGACGGTAAGTAATTCAGCCAACAATTAAGGAGCATACACTGTGTCAGGTTCTGCGCTTAGTAAGGAGAGGCACCAGCCAGTAAGGATGACAAGGAGACAGCCAAGTAGACAATTACATTAGTGGAGCTGACTGGGGTTCAGTGCGCAAAAATTTGAAAAAATTAACTATTTTTTTAAATTTAAAAACTACACGATATGGAAAAGATGTAACAAAGAAAAGTACCAAAAATTACCTACAATCCAGAGAAAACTAGGCTAACAATTTGATGTATCTTTTCTACAATTCAGAGAAAACTAGGCTAACAATTTGATGTATCTTTTCTAACTTTGTACTTTATTTTCTAAAGGCGGGCGCCCTCTCCTGTTTTGTAAAAGGAACGGTCGAATTCGTACTGGAAGCGACGCGCCGCCCAGAGGGCTTTGCAGGCGCTGGTTCGGGGTCTGGGATTTAAGGACTTGTACTGTAAGGGGTGAAGACAGGCTTGGTGTGGTGGCTCACGCTTGTAATCCTAGCTTCCTAGCTCTCTGGGACGCCAATGGGGAAGGATCGCTCAAGGTCAGGAGTTCGAAACCAGTCTGAGCAAGAATGAGACCCCCGTCTCTACTAAAAATAGAAGTTAATTGGCCAACTAAAAATATATAGAAAAAATTAGCCAGACGTGGTGGCACATGCCTGTAGTCCCAGCTACTCGAGAGGCTGAGGCAGGAGGATCGCCTGAGCCCAGGAGTTTGAGGTTGCCGTGAGCTAGGCTGACGCCACAGCACTCACTCTAGCCTGGGCAACAGAGTGAGAATGAGACTCTGCCTCAAAATAAATAAATAATTAAGGGGTGAAGACAACAGGAAGGGGCGATGGCATGATCGCCCCTTTACAAACTAGGAAGTCGAGGCTTCGAGGAGCGACGAGACTTTTCCGTAGGGTCCGCGATCGGCCGGCAGGACCCAGACAAGGGGCCATAGCTCCCCCACAAGCCAACCCCAGCGCCGCAAAGCGAGGGCTCAGGCCCGCGCAGGCCAGCCTCCGCCTGGGCGTGGCTTTATGGCGCGACGTCACATTTTCCTGTCTGGCCGCCCATTGGTTCTCTCTTACCGCCCTTTTCCGGGGCAAGTGAAACCAGGCACAGAGCCGGAAGTGATTCAAGACAGCCGCGGCCTTCGCAGCTGAGCGCCGGGGTGCCATTGAAGACGGCCAGTTTCTCCATCCAGGCTCCAGCCCGAGCCAGAAGATCCCCCAGAATTCTGATGGCCTATGGAAGGGAACCGAGTCGGATCATGAAGTATCCCGCGCAGATGTAACGATCAGAGCCTTCTGAAGGCCGCCGGAACCCCGCCCCTAGGAGGAGTCTGGGAGCCTTGTCTAGGTCAAGCACCCGAAGGGACCTCCCCGGGGTGGAGCCCCCTGGCCATGGCCGCCCCCCCGGGGGCTGGTCCTGCAGCTCTACGCTTCGCAGCCGCAGCCACCTGGCAAGTCGTGCGCAGACGCTGCGTGGAGCATTTTCCGCGAGTATTGGAGTTTCTGAAATCCTTGCGCGCCGCTGCCCCTGGCTTGGTTCGCTACCGGCACCATGAACGCCTGTGCATGGGCCTAAAGGCCAAGGTATCGGGGCAAGTCGAAACGGGGACGGGAGAAAGGGGCGGGATGGGAGGACCTGACAAGGCCCACAGCTTGGGGGTGAGACCGGTTGGAGAAAGGCAGCTTGCCCCGAAGTAGGGATTCTGAGTTTAGTACCTTACAGGTGGTGGTGGAGATGATCCTGCAGGGCCAGCCTTGGGCCCAGGTCTTGAATGCTCTGAATCACCACTTCCCAGAATCTGGATCTGTGGTACGGGACCCCAAAGCTGTGAGTAATCCCCAGAACAAGCCCTAACCTGTTGCCCCTCCTGCTGGCTACTGGATCCCGCAGCCCCTAACTTGTCCTCCATGTCCTCAACAGACAAAGCAAGATCTGAGGAAGATTTTGGAGGCACAGGAAACTTTCTGTCAGCAGGTGAAAGAGTTGTCAGAGGCTCCTGTGGATTTGGCCTCAAAGCTACAGGTGAGACTGACTGGTTTGAAGACTGTGTGGCTCCTATTTTCTCTGATCCTCTTCTGACCCGCTTCTTTCATCCCTGCAGGAACTTGAACAAGAATATGGAGAACCTTTTCTGGCTGCCATGGAAAAGTTGTTTTTTGAATATTTGTGTCAGCTGGAAAAAGCACTGCCTACACCACAGACAGAGCAGGTTTTGTTGGGGCAAAGCACGTAAGGGCAGAATGTAGAGTGGTTGCATCAAGGACGGTTGTCTTCATATGTCTCTCCCTGCCCACAGCTTCAGGATGTGCTGACTTGGATGCAGCCTGGAGTTTCTATCACCTCTTCTCTTGCCGCCAGCCAGTATGGTGTGGACATGGGGTGGCCACTTCCAGGTACTAGGAATTTGGTGGTATAGTGTTTAATATGAGACCTTTTCAGGCAGCCCACTGGAATAGTTGCATGGGCCTGAGGCATAAGAAACCAGACTGAGTTACTCTACTGTCTGTTCCCTTTATAAGAAGCCTCATTTTCTTTTTCAGAGTGTTCTGTTACTGATTCAGTGAACCTCACAGAGCCCATGGAACAGGCTCCTCCTCAGCAACCAAGACTAGCACTCCACAGTCCTCTGCCAAAAGCCAAGCCTGGCCCATACCTTCCTCAGGGACCAGCTTCAAAGAAGCACCCAGAACCTTTAGCTGGCCACCACTTCAACCTGGCCCCTCTAGGCCAGCGAAGAGTCCAGTCTCAGTGGGCACCTGCGAGGGGAGGCCATAAGGAGCGCCCCACAGTCATGCTGTACCCCTTCAGGAATCACGGCTCATCAACCCAGGTCATATCTAATCCTGAAAACAGAGAACATGGGATGCACACAGCCGATCCAGCAGATACTGTGTGCACAAGAGCAGCCTCCGCTGGGAAGTCTAAGAATCCATGCCAGACTCTGGGGGGAAAGGTTCTGAAGGAGAACCCAGTTGACTTGTCTGCCTCAGAGCAGGAGTGAGTGGAACACAATTGCTTCTCCCCACTAGGAGCACATTCTTTCCCAGCTTTCCCTTCACCCTATCCTCTTTGCTTGCTCCCACCTCAGGATTTCCCTGGATTGCTCCATGGACCCCCTGAGACTATTATTATCACCTCCTAGGGCCAGGAAGCCAGGTAGGTAGGAAATCTGAGTCAGGATTGGATTAGATAGCCTCTTCTCTTGGGGACTCTTAAGAGCCTTTGTTCACCTAGAAGGAATAGTTTGATTCTGTTTTCTTTTCTGCAGTGAATTCTCCATCTCTGTGTGGCTCCGTCATTACCATAGGGGACTTGGTTTTAGACTCTGATGAGGAAGAAAATGGCCAGAGGAACGGAAAGGTAAGTAAGTAGGAAGGAGCAGAAAGCTGGGGAAGGGGATAGGCAGAGCAAAACTAAGAAATCCACATGTTCCAGAATACAGAGGGCTTAGGAAATGGTTTGGGATGATGGGATCTCCCTGTTCCCTTCCTTACAGGAGACTCCGGAAAAATACCAGAAGACAAAGTTTGACACCCTGATCCCCACCTTCTGTGAATACCTTCCCCCTTCTAGCCTCAGTGCCATGCCTGGCCCTTCCCATGACTATATAGACAGCACTAGACCCCTGTGACAGGACTAAAATGCCCTTTGCACTCTGCCCATCTCTTGCTTCCTCAGCTCTCCAAGCAGTTTAGTGGGAATGAAGTGGAAGCCCAGGCTTGGGTTGTCTGAAAACATTGCCTAAAATACTTTGTAATACTTGATAATTAAACTTTGGATTTGTTAGAACACTGTCTTGATGTGAGAGAGGGGAATTAAGGCTTCCATAAGGTCAGCAAAAGTCATTCCTCAGAAACAGAACTGGCCTCTCCAGAACTGAAGAATCCCTTTGCCTGTTTTTCTTCCCTTGGAAAATACTGTTCAGCTGTGCCCAGAGGGTTACCAGGGTTGAGAGCCTGGAAGGGAAATGTTCTTTTGCTATTCTGAAATAACATGAGTTCTAAGGCCAGGATATACTTTGTGAATTCTCATGCTGCCAGAGTATCTGGGGGTGGTGGGACTAGAATGGAGATACTTCATGAGAATAATACTCATTGTCCTTGAGCCACTGGGTTAGTGGTAACCCTAACCACACCCACCTTGGAGCAGCACCCAGATGCCAACATTATGCAGAAAGCCCCAGCATCTCTTGACAGTCAGTGGGATCTCTCTTTATTGAGGTATTTCCAATATGTAAACAATTCTTCTGAGATTTTTAGATATTCAAAGTTCCCATTTATAAGACATGATTCTAAAAGCCTGCCTCTTCCAGATCAAGGCTATATAAAACATTTATGTATAATGTCAATCAGCATCTTTTCCTTTTAATAATCTTCAGGATGTTGGGTCCCCCAGATTCCCATTTGATTATTTTATGTCGTTTTCACAGACTGTCTTCTTCCTTGCTTCCTCCCCAGTGAGTGCCCTGGGCGTTTTGTGTGTGCAGATAGAGAAGTATAGAGTTGCTGCAGGAGCCCTCAGGAGCAAGTTGATAGGAAATGAGAAGTAATACATAGCCGCAGTAGCTGTGATGGGTGAGAAGCCCACTTGGGAGGCCCCATAGTAGAGTGCTGGGGCCTTGGGAAGGCAGAACTGCTCAAGTCTAGCGCTCATCACTGAAGATTGGATTCACCTGCTGGGTGACTCGGATAAAAGTAGTTCTCCGGCTCAACTCCTTCAGCTTTGCTGCTCCCACATAGGTGCATGTAGAGCGAATCCCTCCTAGGATGTCTCGGATGGTATGTTCCACATCCCCTTTAAAGGGAACTTCTACTGTTTTTCCCTCTGAGGCCCTTAGAGTAAGAAACACTTTATTACTTTCTCCTTCTGGATTCCTTAAGCCCAAGGACTCTTCCCCAGTCCCTAGCATTGAGCCCTGGTTCACCACTCTTCTCCCGAGAACTGCACCATTGTATCTCAGCAGGCATGAGTTCTGCCTCCACACTAGTCATGCTTTCCAAGAACCCTCAGCTCCTGAGACTCCACACATACCTATACTCAGCCACTCCCCCAGCATACTTCTTCATGGCCATTTCAGAACTCATTCCGTAGAAGAGCTTGTACTTCTTGCCATCCCTCTCGATGAGCTCACCGCCTGACTCACTGTGCCCAGCCAGCATGCCACCCAGCATCACGAAGTCAGCTCCTGCCCCTGCCAACATCAAGGAGGGGAGAAAGAGATGAATCTGGCCAAGAAGCCCATTTGGCCACACTCAAAAGCAACTCACGCTGAATTTCCAGTCCTGTCAGTGAATCCACCACCTTCCTGCTTCTTTTTCCCTAGCTGACCCACATCCACACAGGCTTGCTCTGCTTGTGTGCGGTCCCCTACTCCTCAGGGGGTGTGATTTCCCCAAGATCTATAAAGAAGCCTCTGGAGATTCCCTGCTTGGCTTTTTCTCCCTCCTTTTGCTGTTTCAGCATCTTCTGGTCATTTTATTTTGCTGTATCCAGCTAAATGAAGGCTCGTTTCATGTGTCTCAAAAGCAAAGGTCTCCAACTTTAATGTGAGTAAGGATCACCTGGGAAGCTGTCCAAAATGCAGATTTGCAGCCCCATGCCTGAGAGCCTGATTTTATAGGTCTGGGGTGGAGCTCAGGAATCTACATTGTGCAACAATCCTGGGGACAGTCAGATGGCTCTGGCCACCCTTGGAGAATCTCAGGATGTCCCCTGCTGGCTTGCCTTGGATGATACCATAGGCTTCAGGGTCACTAGTTCATATTATCAAAGAGTCTGAATGGCTTTCTGAGCCTCTCCTAGCCTGACTCAAGACCCTCAGAGGTGACTCATCTTTTCTACAGGATCCTCCTTCCATGCCCTAACTCCTTACCAAAAGCCTTGGCCACATCCCCAGGACAGCTGCAGCCTCCATCCTGCAAAGTAAGGAGCACTTCAAAAAGACAGCATGGATTTTCCAAGCCCTCTCAGTGATGTCCCAATGGCCCACCTCAAAGCTGACAAGAACCTAGGAATCCTGGTCTATACCTACCGGAGCCTCCATACCCTGCAGAAAACCTAGCTGTTTGGCAGCCTCAGACCCTACCCTGCCCTTGGGCCTTACTGAAATGATGTGGCCTTTAAGGCCATGAGCAGCATCAGCACACTCCATCACTGCACTGAGCTGTGGATACCCCACTCCAGTTTTCTTCCGAGTGGTACACACAGAGCCTAGGAAGAACATGACAAGGGTGAGAGTGAAGTACTCTACAGGTGTTTGCTACCAAGGACTAGCCAATGGCCTCAATGAACCAACTTACCTGGCCCAATTCCCACCTTGATGATGTCAGCCCCAGAGAGGATTAGCTCTTCCACCATCTCCCCTGTTACCACATTCCCTGCCTGAGACAGAGCAATGGAAATAGAGCATCCTTAGGGTCAGAAACAGAGGAGACAGTGGGCTCTCATATAGAATATGCCTGGACCAAGGACTTTCCAACTTTATTACAAAGAAAATGTGCCTAGGTCCCCTCTACTAGGGCCTCTGAGGGCTTCTATGGTAGCCACTTCAGAGGATCCTGCTTCCCACCCATTCCCCTGACACCAAGCTAAAGTAGGGGGGTAAGTGGCCATTATCACTGCTGAACTAGGAAAAAGCCAAGCTCTAAGACCCACTTTATTGCCTCAGGCAATAAGGTACTGTGATCAAAAAGAAGACAGGTTGGGCCAAGGTGGCTCATACCAATAATCCTAGCACTTTGGGAGGCTGAGGTAGGAGGATTGCTTGAACTTAGGAGTTCAAGACCAGCCTGAGCAAGAGCAAGACCCCATCTCCACTAAAAATAGAAAAACAAACTGGGCATTGTGGCATGGGCCTGTAGTCCCAGCTACTTGGGAGGCTGAGTTAGGAGGATGGCTTGAGCCCAGGAGTTTGAGGTTGCGGTGAACTATGATGCCATCACTGCACTCTACTCAGGGCAACTGAGTGAGACTCTGTCTCAAAAAAAAAAAAGGAGACATGAGGTGCCATGAAGGAGCATTCAATAAATCAAAGGGAACTACTGGACCAAGCTCAGATCTGACTTAGAGATTCACTTTCCCTTCCCCAAGAGATCCAAACATGTCCTTAAGCAGTTCAAAGCACCTCTTTGGCTTCAGGGAAGGGGAGAAAACATGGTAATGTAGCCTAAATACCCATCTGCCCAGCTGCATTTGCTTTTAAGGACATCCCTCAATGCTGGAAGAAAATGAGGCCTTGTCATCACTTCCCTAAGTTTGTAAAAAAAATTGTTTCATGTAACCCCCTTTATGTGATAGTAGCACATGTCCATTTCAGTGGGTAGATGTATATGTACCACAGGTACATACAATGCATAAATGTTACATCGTGGTTTGATGAGTGCTGTTAGGGACACTCAATTTACAAACACAATGAATTATGGGTCAGAGATACTGCATGGACCAATAAACAAGCACTTTAAGCTTAGAACCATGGATAATCACCCAGTAACATAATTAAATAGACTAGGAATAGCATATGCAACAGAGGAGAAATTAACTGATGTAACAAAATGGAGTGGAAGGAGAGAAATGGACCTATTACAGAATAATAGAAACATACCATGATGGTGTGTTGAGGGAAGCGCTTCCGCACATCCTTTACAAATTCAACAAAGTGTTCAGAGTAGCCATTTGCTACATCCAGGCATATATAGTTCACCTGGGGAATAGCTTCCAGGATCTGTTCCAGCTGTTCAAAGTCAGAAGAGCCAGTGCCTGAGCTGGCAGCAAGATGCTGTGGAAGAAACAGGGCCATTAGCATGGGAGGCATTAGACTAGCCTGTGGGGATGGTGATGATCTGGTGAGCAGCCAATAGAGGTCACTGGTAAGGGTGGTTCCCCAGGAAGCCAAAAAAAAAAAAAAAAACATTCTTGGAAAACTGAGTTAAAGAAGGGAGCAGGGTAGGCCCAGTGTTACCTCAAGACAGTCAGGATTCTGGCTAGCAAACTCTTGCCATTGATCAAGGCTGTAGTGCTTATGGACAGCAGTGAAGAGGGAGAACTGGGGAGAAGAAAAAGAACTGTCAAAAAGTAGAAAACTTCAGCCCTCTTGTTATGGGTGGGGGCAGTCCATTCCTTGTATCTTGTTCTTACTCTGTAAACCTCTATCTTGCTTTTGCTCTGTAAACCTATCTTGTTCTTCTTCAATAAACTTTGTTTCACACTTACCAAAAAAAAAAAACAACAAAATTTCATCAGGGTCTCTTTTTCTAGAAATAGACCTTTATACTACTCTGAGAAAATTTCTGAAGTTTGGAAGGAAAGCAACTCGAGGAGGTCAGTGGTTGAGCTGGGATTTGAGTTCAACCATCATCACTATTCTCCCGACAAATATCATTAGAGCTTTTTTATCGTAAACTAGTACTTGTCAGATATTCCCACCAAAGTACTGAGTGATCCAGATTGGATTTCACCAGCCAGTACATACATTGCTTCTAACTTAAAAGGTGAAAAGGACAAGCTGTTAGTTCAGTGGGACAAGCAGCAGACATGGACGACCATCGAGGGGCTAGATGGAGACTATTTCTCTGCACTGACTTAGTCCCTCATCCTAAGGTAACCTAGTACTAAACTAATTTATTTTTGCTATCTTCTGGTTCATTTACCAGCAGTAAGTCAGTGGGTCTAGGTGTCCACAAAAGGTAATGCCTTAAGGTTAACAGAGCTGACAAGGTGCTACCCTACCCTTTCTCCTTCTCTACTGGAATAAAGGACAAATTTTCTTGTTGGGGCCATGGGTGAAGCAGAAAAGTCTGTTTCACTCAGTCTATTTCAATCAACCAAGTTCAAGGATATAATGACTCATCAGGCTCATATTCTCTAACTCAACAAACTGTAAACAATATCCCAATACTTAGAGAAAGGCATTCAAAGACCACTGTAAATGCTGGTATTTGTGCTTTAAAAGTGCATACATGCAAACAGAAAAGAGACAACAGTTGGCTGACAGCACAGATCTGGCAAATGACAAGAAACCCAAGGAAGTCAGGTATCAGCCAGCAACAAGGAAGTGCTATACTCACTAAGACATTAACATTATCTAGCTAAAGCTGGAATTCTTTCTCAGCAACACTCAACCATCAACACACTGATAAAGAAAAATCACTCTAGGAGGTCAGCAGACCTGGGAGCTATACTAGCATAGTGTGGCATGATGAGCCTTTATCTGATTACATACCAAGCCTAGAAAAAAATGCTTGCTTGCATCCAACCTTTTTATTATTACTGTAACACTTGGCTCTATCTCTAAAATCAGATTTTGTTAGCAGTCATCAGCAATACTGAAAGCCAGTCTCAACATAAGCCATTAAGGTTCATGTATTACAGCCTGTCTGTTAACTCTACAGTCAGATTCACCATTCCTAAATTCTACTCATTAGGGCAGGCAGACAATGGACAACAGCAAGATTCCTAAGCAGTTAGTGAATGGCTATAGGAATAAAGTAATAAAACCATATAACTATCCAACTCAAATGACAACAGACATTCCACAAAGACACAGCAATCAAAAATGGAAATAGGGAGATGCAGTCCTCAAGGCTATTGGAGCCACAAACAGTAGTAGAATCCATCAACCAGGGTTACATGGATTAACCAGCAAAGTACACATGTTCTCAAAGTGTCCAGGTAACCATCTACCTTCTCAGCTATAAGTATAGAGGCATGTAATATTACTGACAGCAGCATCTTCCATTTTCAAAGTGAACAACCTGTATAAAAGAAAAGCATATTCCAATTGGGGCACATCCCAGAAACTCCCAGCAACCTATGACTTAAAGAAGATGAAGATTATAAAAAGAAAAAAAAGGGGCTGGGTGTGGTGGTTCACACCTGTAATCCTAGCACTTTGGTAGGCTGAGACAGGAGGATCACTTGAGCCCAGGAGTTTAAAGTTGCTGTGAGCTAGGCTGATGCCACGTCACTCTACCCTAGGTGATAAAGCAAGACTCTGTCTCAACAACAACAACAAAACAGTGAATGGTTAGTGTTGTGAACAATGGTATGACTGGAGGGATACGTGTACTTGGGAGGAGATGACCTGGGTCATGGCAAAAGTTGGCAAGGTGTATAAACTGCTAGATAGGACAAAAGGGAAAGGTCTGTTCATATGCTCCCAAAAATGGGAGCAAAACTTAGTTTTGAAGCTCACTAATTCAGACGGCCCTTTGAATTTATCAGATAAAGAGGCCTTAACACTAGAGAAGATAGTAAGTCAGAGGATCCTGACTGCTAAGTGTCAGGGAGCTAATTGGGGATGGGGATGGGGATACAACTGGGCAGTCAGCTGGGTTAACTGGACACCAATGGGGAAGAGGCATGAAAGAAGTCCTACCTTACAGAGAACCTTGGCCATCTCAAAGGTGCCCACAGTATCCATATTGGCGGCAATGATAGGGACCCCAGTGTACATCTGCTTTGAGTTCCGAAATGAAAAGGATCTTGTGAGATCCACCTGCAGATGTGAATAGGAAACTGAGCATTTCACTCATCCAAAAAAACGTATTGCATTAGAACAAGGATCCGGCATGTTTCTCAGTTGTGGCCCATAAGCAGCTTGGGGTCAAGAAACAGCAAGTAGAGACGCTGGCTTACCTCACTTCGAGACTTAAGGGTGCTGCGTTTGGGCCTCAACAGGACATCTTTGAAGTCCAGTTTCACATCGTTGTCGATATGAGGCATGGCGGGGACCTCGGGGTAGGGATGAATCTGAGGGCTGGAAGGTAGGAAAAGTCAGAAGAACCAATCTCCCCCTGGGCTTTGACGCCCTCTTCAGGCTGATGGCAGGCAGGGTTCATCTCTCCTTGCTTAAGTTTTGGAAGGTCGGGCACAGGCCGAGGTGTGGCCCCTAAAGCCTGTCGCCCTGACCCGTCCTGTGGTTGCGATTACGCTCGGTGTCTTCATCCCAGGTACTGTTTGCTGGGAAGAAGAACCGGGAAGTGATTGTGAGTGACCCTGAAGGTGCATTCCTTACCCCACTACACTTCCTTCTCTCACCCCTGCAAAGAGCAACGGAGTAAGATGCTGATTGAGAGGGCAACGGAATGTGAGAAGTTTCATAACCAGCTTCCGGAATAGGGCTACTCACTTCCTGTTGCCTTGGCCCAGGTGGCAGTTGACCAAAGATCCCCTTGCTTAGCAACTAGCCTCGTGCAGCCCCGCTGAGCCTTGTGGGCCACGCCAACAGGTTCCGCTAATTGCGGGCGAGAACGACTAGCCCAGGAATTCCAGCTTCCACGGCAGTCGTGCCAGGCCTTCTGGGTAACAGAGTTCAACACACTCAGGTTGCCGTTGGACCCGAGGCGCGGAAGACTACAACTCCCAGGGTGGAACAGAGGGGGACCCGCCCCCTGGCATGATGGGAGGAGTAGTTCGTTCCGCCCTTGCTTTCAGCTAACCCGGCTCGCTAAGGACTCTGAGACACGCAGAGGCGTCATCTCCGCTGTAACTAAACTGGCCGCCTTCTTTTTGTTTACGACGCCACTGAACCGAAACGGGGAAGCATTCGTGATCCTTTCAGGAACCCCGTGGAAAGAAGGCGGGGGTGGAGCCAGACAGTGACCCGGAAGCAGAAGTGATTCTCACAGGCGGAGCGCTGGAGAGCGGCAGCAGCGACCGCAGCGGCAGGAGCAGCAATTTATCCGTGTGCAGCCCCAAACTGGAAAGAAGATGCTAATTAAAGTGAAGGTGGGAGCACCTCCAGCCTTGCCAAGACTCAGTGGTACTAGACTGGCAGCTGTGCCTTACGGGAAAACTGGGGAAGGAAAACCACGCCTTTCCCGATCCTGGAGGGTGCTGACAGCCTCAGCGCTCCGCGCGTGGGGTGATGGGAAATAGGGGGACCCTGGAGGGCTTTGAGAGTGGGGGGCTGGCCCTGCCTGACAACCCAGGGGTCTCTGCCGTCCCTGCTTTCTCGCTAGGATTGTGCCACGACCCAGAAGGAGGCCGATTTTGTCCAAGGTTTCACTGTACTCGAACCCTCGCAGTCATAGAGAAGGCCTAGCAGCAGTTTGGCTCCCCTTTTAGATTCTTGGAATAAGCTCTGCTCTTCACGCCCAGGTTACCTGCTTCTTCTAACATAGCCTGCCTCCGAGCACAGCACTAAAACGTTAGCCTGGGGGAACTTGGGTCTCCCAGGGGATAGACTGTGAGCCTTTATTGGTGTTTGCCAAGGTGTAGTATCTCAGCCATCCTTCAGGGACCAAAGCTGGGAGTGTGTTCAGTCAGCACTTGCTTTTCTGAGTCAAGCATCCTGAACCAGCCTTGCTTCTTGGCTAAGACAGATTAGTTACCAGTGCCGTAGTTCTTGGTTAGATTTCTTAACACCCCTGGTTCTTCTTCACCAATTTCCAACAACACTTATTAGACCTGTCTGCTATTTCCTCTTTTATATCTTCAGACAGAGACAAAAATCCTGACAATCGATGCAGTCCAACACTGATTTGTCCTTTTATAGCTAAGTAAGTCTATCGTTATTTCATCAACTCCTTAGAATATTTACCATACATAATAGTCATTCTTAACCTTCTCTTCTCCAGTCCTTCCAAACCTCCTAGCTAAGGTTTGAGGCCAAACATCATGTTAAAGATCATTGGTTTTCAAACTTAGAGATCAATGTAATAGTTCAATGGGTTGCAAGCAACATTATTCTTAAATGGAAAATATCAATATACTCCTGGGTAAGAATACTGTTTTGTGACTAAAAAATTTTAGTCACTAAAATTTTACATTATGACCCATAGAGTCACAAAAAACTTACTATGTGTAATATGCTCTGAAATTTTCAATTCTATTCTAAATTGTTTTCCTAACCAATGGATGAGTTGAGGCTTACAGTTTAAAAAATGCTGTTTGAAAAAAAGAAATCAATGCTGTGTGTGGAACCTTGAAAAAAAAATACTGTGTTTTAGACAGGTTTTTCAAATGTCAAAGTGCTGAAGAATCTCTTCGTGGTCTTGTTGAAATGCTGATTCTGATGCCAGGAGTCTAGGATAGTGCACAAGATTCTGCATTTCTAACAAGCTCCTGAGTGACACTGATATTAAATGTCTGGAGAATACACTTCGAATAGCAAGGTTCCAGATTTTGTCCCTTCTTTGAATCCATTTTTATTTAGTGCTTCTCTAAAATTGCCGGTCTTCTTTCCTGCAAAACTTACCATTCTGCCTGCAAACAGGTCTCTCTGTCTTCCATCTTTCTTTTGTTTGCTACATCTCTATTTATTAAGTACTGTATGTAGTAACTACTATATGTAGTACTATATAAGCAACAAGATAGCTATTAAATACCACATAAAATGATAGGTTTTATTAGGGTTCATTTGTGAATTATTCATTTTTCAATGTTGTCTCTGCATAGATGACTTCCATATTTTTCTGTGATCCTTTATGATTAAATCTTCATCTCTGTGATTCTAAAATTAAATGTATTATCTTCTATCATGAGCCATCTTCCCAATATGCATCTCATAGGTTGATTCCATCAATCTTACCAGTTGACTAGAGTGCAATTCCTTACAGTCAGTACTTTTTTATAGGACCTGATTTTTCACTTAAAACTTCTTTCTGCTTAATTTTTCTTTCCATTTCCATTACTCTCACTTTGGTCTGGGGGTCTCATTAACTTTTACCTTTATTTCTCTGTGATACCTCCAACCACGTTTTCCTACTACCATACACCCTCTAAAGTGTAGAATCTAAACCGAGACATATACAAAATCATAATGTATAGGTCTTCCTTGACCTAATTACTGCCTAATTCCAGACCTTGCATTGCCTAATTCCAGATCTTGCATTGATTTCCTCATTGCAGATTACTTTGGCAACTGTCTTTACCATTTCCTTCCTCATTTTTTTTTTTTTTTGAGACAAGTTCTCACTCTGTTGCCTGGGCTAGAGTGTAGTGGCATTATCATAGCTTACTGCAGCCTCAAACTTGTGAGCTCAAGCAATCTTCCTGCCTCTGGCTCCCGAGTAGCTGGAACTATAGGTACATGCCACTATGCCCGGCTAATTTTTCTATTTTTTGTAGAGATGGGGTCTTGTTATGTTACCCGGGCTGGTCTTGAACTCCTGGCCTCAAGCAGTCTTCCCACCTTGGCCTCCCAAAATGCTAGGATTACAGGCATGAGCCCCTATATTCAGACCACGTTTTTTTTTTAACATACCGTAAAATGCACAGTTCTTAAGGGTTCAGTTCAGGGAGGTTTTTTTTTTTTTTTTTTTTTGAGACAAAGTCTCACTCTGTTGCCCCGAGTAGAATGCCATGGCATCAGCCTAGCTTACAATAACCTCAAAATCCTGAGCTCAAGCAGTCCTCCTGCCTCAGCCTTTCTAGTAGCTGGGACTACATACCACGATGCCTGGATAATTTTTCCAGTTTTAGTAGAGATAGGGTCTTGCTTTTGCTCAGGCTGGTCTTGAACTCCTGAGCTTAAGCAGTCCTCCTGCCTTGGCCTCCCAGAGTGCTAGGATTACAGGCGTGAGCCTCCGCACCCAGCCAGGTTCAGTGAGTTTTTAATAATTATATACACTTATGCAACTACAAGATCTAAACATTTCTCTTTTTTAAGAGACAGAGTCTCACTCTGCTGCCCGGGCTAGAGTGCCATGGCGTCAGCCTAGCCCACAGCAACCTCAAACTCTTGGGCTCAAGTGATCCTTCTGCCTCAGCCTCCTGAGTAGCTGGGACTACAGGCATGTGCCACCATGCCTGGCTAATTTTTTCTACGTATTTTTTAGATGGGGGTCTCACTCTTGCTCAGGCTGGTTTTGAACTCCTGACCTTGAGCCATCCGTCCGCCTCAGCCTCCCAGAGTGCTAGGATTACGGCGTGAGCCACTGAGCCTGGCCAAGATCTAAACATTTTTATCCCTACCCCTCCAAAAGTTTTAGGTTACTTTTGCTTGTTTTAGAAACTTATGTAAATAGAATTATACAGTATATAATTGTTATACCTGGCTTTCTTTCACTCAGCATAATGTCTGTTGTATGTATCTGTAGTTTGTTCCTTCTTATTGTTCAATATTATTCCATTGGAAGACTGTATCACAATTTGTTTATCCATTCTTATGTTGATGGATGTTTGGATTATTTCCAGTTTCTTTTTTTTTTTTTTTTTTTTTGCCTTAGAGACAATGTCTCACTCTGCCTCCTAGGCTGGAATGCAGTGGGGCGCAATCATAGCTCACTGTAGTCTTAAACTCCTGGGCTTAAGTGATGCTCCTGCTTCAGCCTCCTGAGTAGCTGGAACTTCAGGTGTATCATTGCTCTTGGCTAATTTTTTGTTTTTTTGTTTTTTTTTTTGAGGTCTTGCTATTTTGCCCAGGTTGATCTCACACTCCTGGCCTCTAGTGATCCTCCTGCCTCAACCACCAGAGTAGCTGGATTATAGGCAGGCGCAAGCCACCATGTCTGGCAAAGTTGATATGCATTTTAAGTCTCTTTAAATGTATAGATTCTCCTTTTTCCCATTTTTTCTTGTTGAATAAACTAGGGTTTTTGTTCCAGTGAGTTTCCTACAGTTTGAATCTTGTTGATTACATCTCCGTGTTGTTTTTTAATATATTCCTCTTTCCTCTGTATTTCTTGTCAAATTAAATCTAGAGGCTTGATTAGTCTTTGTTCATGTGTGGGAAGAATTCATAGATGGTGTTATAGCATGTACTTCTGTCAGATTGTTTTTTTTTCTGATGTTATTTCCTAGCTCTGTTACTTTGCTGGGGGTAACAAAATGGGAATACTCTAATTTTATTGTTGCTTCATATATTAGCTGGAATGCTTGAGCTGTGTCCATATTGGTAGCCATTAGCCACATGTGGCTATTGAGCACTTAAAATGTGGCTAGTGAGACTAAGGAATTGAAATTTTTTTTGTATTTGACTTTAAATTTAAAAGCTGTTATTTGATTTAGTCATTGGAAAACTTTTAAGTGTAATTGGAACAAGTTGGGTGGCATATAAGTCTACTTTTTCAGCTGTAAATTATGAAATTTAAATACAGATTGGGTACTTCAGATGAAAATTTACCATCTGAATTTAGATGTATAAAATACAGGATTTTGAAGGTTTGGCTGGGGTAAAAAAGAACATAGAATATATTAATAATTTTATATTTGAAAAAAAACTGTGTGCTGAATATGTACAGACTTTTTTCTTGTCATTATTCCTTAAACAATACAGTATAACATAGAATTTATGTTGTATTAAGTATTATAAGTAATCTAGAGATGATTTAAAGTATATGGGAAGCATGCCTATTATCATAGCACTCTGGGAGGCCAAGGTGGGAGCATTGCTTGAGGTCAGGAGTTTGAGACCAGTCTGAGCAGGAGAGAGACCCTGTCTGTACTAAAAATAGAAAAAGTTAGCCAGGCCTGTATCTGAGGCAAGAGGATTGCTTGAGCCCAGGAGTTTGAGATTGCTGTGAGCTAGGCTGACACCATGGCACTCTAGTCTAGGTGACTCTGTCTAAAACAAACAAAAAAAAGACTTAGAGTCTTTTTTACTATTTAAAAATTTTTGTTAATAGGTTGAAATATTTATTAATATTCATGACAAAGGGATATATTTTTATAAAAAATTTAAACAAAAGGAAGATTGAAAAAAAAAATTTAAACAGTACAGATAAAAGGAGAAGAATTGCTCTTGATATACCCTTAGCCCTAGTCCCCTGCTCAAAGGTAATCATTATTATAAGAGATATGTATACTTTTAATCCTTTTTTCTATATATGTACATACATCTGCATATAAAAATGATATATAATTATACATTCTTTAGATCTTTCCTTGTCAGTGTATAAACTATTGCATAATGTAGCATTCTATGGATGTACCATAGTTTAATAATTTTCTTATTAATGGGCATTATTAAGCTATTTTTCCAGTGTTTTGCTTTTACAAATAGTGCTGCAGTCAATCTCACATGTACCTCTTTTGATACATGGCCAAGTTTTTCATCCAAGGTAGTTATCTAGAAATAGAATTGCCTGGTTGAAAAGCCTTTGCATTTAAAGTATTAAGATCTCGGTGGCTCACGCCTGTAATCCTAGCACTCTGGGAGGCCGAGGCAGGCGGATTGCTCCAGGTCAGGAGTTCAAAACCAGCCTGACCAAGAGCGAGACCCCATCTCTACTATAAATAGAAAGAAATTAATTGGCCAACTAATATATATAGGAAAAAATTAGCCAGGCATGGGGTGCATGCCTGTAGCCCCAGCTACTCGGGAGGCTGAGGCAGAAGGATTGCTCAAGCCCAGGAGTTTGAGGTTGCTGTGAGCTAGGCTGATGCCATGGCACTCACTGTAGCCTGGGCAACAAAGCGAGACTCTGTCTCAAAAAAAAAAAAAAAATTAAGTATTAAGAACAATATAGTGTAATCATTTGTGGAAAACACAGAATTGCATATTTTTCATTTTGTCAGGTAAGGGCATATACTGCTGGGTACAGTGGCTCATGCCTATAATCCCAGCACTTTGGGAGGCTGACGTGGGAGTACTGGGGCCAGGAGTTTGAGACCAGCCTGGGTGACATAGTGAAACCCCCGTCTCTAAAAAAAATTTTTTTTTAACTAGCTGGGCATGGTGGCAGCACCTGTAGTCCTAACTATTCAGGAAGCCAAGGTAGGAGGATCCCTGGAGCCCAGGAGTTCAAGGTTACAGTGATCTGTGATTATATCACAGCACTCGAGCCTGGGCAACATATTAAGACCCTGTATTCCATACTATACTAGTCAGACTCAGTTAGGCAGGGCAGAGGACAGAACTAAAAAGCATGGGCTTTGGGGCTGGAGAACCTGTTTTTAAATCCACCATGTACTTTTGATTGCATAGGCATGCTTTTTAACCTGTCCAAGTCCTATTTTCATCATCTGTAAAATGGAAATAAAAATAGTACATATTTCATAAATACTTGGGAGAATTAAATGTGGTAATATATGTAAGTTACTTAGCATAGTTTCTGATTCTTAGAAAGTACTGAGTAAATGTTGGCTGTGGTTATAACATGATCATTGATGCATTTAGCCCTTCTACAAATATTTATTCACTGCTTCTATATCAAACACTGTGCTTTGTGTTTGGATTAGGAAGATGAATTGAATAGTCTGTGTCCTTAAAGGAAGTTGGAGAGTTTAACACTTAAACAGCTAGCTATAATTAGTGTTAATGAAAGTATTAATAAAGTACACTGGGAACAAGTCTAGGCATCCTATAACAGGAAATCTTATATTAAAGGGGCCTTGAAGGCTGGGTGCAGTGGCTCATGCCTATAATCCTAGCACTCTGGGAGGCTGAGCTGAGAGGAACTTGAAGTCAGGAGTTTGAGACCAGCAAGAGCAAGACCACATCTCTACCAAAAATAGAAAAAATTAGCCAGGCGTGCTGGCATGCGTCTGTAGTCTCAGCTACTTGAGAGGCTGAGGCAGGAGGAATGCTTGAGCCCAGGAGTTTGAGTTTGCAGTAAGCTATGATGACACCACTGCATTCTACCTGGGGTGACAGAGTAAAACTCTGTCAAAAAGAGAGAGAAGGAAGGAAGTGAGGGAGAAAGTAGAGAGGAAAGGAAAAAGAAAAAAGTCCTGGGGGTTTGGAGAAGCAGTAGTCGAGGGTATTGCAACAGGGAAAGCAGTAGAAACAAGGGAAACACCCTAATCCTGAATTTGGCTGAGCATGATGTGTTTGTGGTCTGGATCACTGACGACTAGTACAGATAGAGCTTTAAGAGCAAGGACCGGTAGGAGATTAGATTGAGTGGAATAAATTATGACTATACAATCAATGTAATTATTGTGTTTGGATATCAGCAGCCTTTAGCCTACAGAAGAAGTCAAGAAGATGAGAGCTGCAATTTAGGATTTAGGTAAAAGTCTAGAGAAGATAGGGGAGATACATGTTGAATTCTAGTGTTTCTTAAAACACTGGTCAGAGGTGACTTCTGGTATACTTGAGAATTCTTTGAATTATCTAAATGTTGATTACTGGCATTGGTATTTATAATAGAACAAGGTCCTTCTGACTGGAAGGAATACTTTCCTTAGAACACCTCTCATTGCTGTATCATCCAAATTATTGCCAATATTCTCGTGATTTGGTGGGGGAGATGAGAAGAGACAGAGGAAAATGACTTACTGAATTAAGAGTGTCAGATGGTATGCAAAGAATCTTGCCCTACCAAAGTTGTCCACAGCCTAAAAATGTTTGATGGATATAGATACGATCAAAGCCTTCTGATTCTCCAAAGCAGTGTTGTGGAGAATGTGCATCTCTCAGAAGGCAGTAGATCTTCAGAGATCAGGACAGGATGTTTTATCTAGAAGACACATTGTATGTTGGGCTGTAGAACTCATGAAACCCCTGCCTGTTTCAGACGCTGACTGGAAAGGAGATTGAGATTGACATTGAACCCACAGACAAGGTGATGTATGCCCAGCAACTCTTCATGCCCTTCTCCTTGCCATTTACATTTGAGTATGCTTATGAACTTGGTCCTTTTGCTCTCCTGCTATCTACATAGCCCTTGTTCTTTCCATTTCCATGGTCCTAACCCTGAGCAGCCCCTGACTACTTGTCTCTAAAGGTGGAGCGAATCAAGGAGCGTGTGGAGGAGAAAGAAGGAATCCCCCCACAACAACAGCGGCTCATCTACAGTGGCAAACAGATGTGAGTTTGGAGTGAGAGTGAGGGTATGACAATCTTATATGAAGAAGAGAGGGGGGACAAGTACTGGAGGTGGACCAGACCTGCTTCTTGTTTTTGGTGCCTTAGACTCTTTGGCAGTCTGATTGAAGCCTCTAGGCCCCTCCTCAGAATAAGGTTTTTTAAGGTATAAAATAAAATATATAGAACTACAAAGAAAACTAAGTATATTGAAATACAATTCTCAAAATACTAAAATAAATTTTTGATATAGTAATATATGTGCTTCTTTATTAATATATTAAATGAGATCTAATGGTGGGTCTAACAACTACAATAATTTTGAAATATTTTCAAGATACCTGCAAACAGTTGTCATAGGAATATTATGATCTAGTTTCTGTTGTTAACAAGTTACCCATGTTACTAATACTACTGTGCTTTTTTGCCTGTGTTTAAAATTTAAAGAAATACTAAATTTCAGTTAGGGCTTAGTAAAAATACAGATGGAATTTTTTTTCTCATCCAAGTTTGTTCATAGGTCCCCAAAGAGATCCATGAAACTCAGTTTGAGAACCCCTGTTCTATATGGCATTTCTAAAGGTTTTTTTTTTTTTCCTCTTTTTTCCTGCAGGAATGATGAGAAGACAGCAGCTGACTACAAGATCCTAGGTGGTTCAGTCCTCCACCTGGTGTTGGCTCTGAGAGGAGGAGGTGGTCTAAGGCAGTGATAGACCCTTCCTCCGTTTTACCTCCCTACCCTGTCTCTCATAATGAGGCATCATATATCTTCTCACTCTCTGGGACAACAGAGCCACTGCCCCCTCTCCTGGATGCCTAGTCATGTGTATCTACTGGTGGGAGACTGTGAGGACCCCAGGATGCAGTATTCCTGGCCCAGAGGGCCCTTGCTGGCTGTTGGGTTTTAGTTTGCAGTCCTGTGTGTTTCCCTCTCTTATGGCTATGTCCCTGGTTGTCAATAAAATATTTCCTGGCCTCCTGGAATCTTTATTTTATTGCACAAATGTGACAATCTAAATGGGCCCAATGTTCAACCAGTTATACCAGGCTGAAAGAGTAGGACAATGGAAGTGATGGTGCTCTTCTAAGGATTGTCAGACTCTAGGAAAGCCCACTTGCAATGGTGTGCTGGAGCCAGTTCTTACTGGCTCATAAGAGCCGATTATTGACATCTCTTCCCAACTCCATGTTAAGTAACTTCATGTTGGTGGCTTGGAATTGGCCATTATAGGAATATTTACAGAAATTGTCAGACACTGTAAATCAGTTCCTCCTCCCAAACTAGCTGTTACACATCTACCAGCATACTACTGACCTGGATGGTAGAAACCGGGAGAGTGAATTCTCTCCTGTGGCTCTATTGGACATTTGGGCCTGGTTGGAGAAAGGTCCCAGGGACTTACTTAGCAGGTACTACATTCTTTATGCTGGTATTATATTGCTGAGGGCTTTGGGTTCCACACTATCAAGAGGGTGGTATAGAGAAAGGTTGAGTGACAAGCTGTGATGGATCACTTAGGTTTCAAGTGGGAAGATAAGAGGTGCTATTAATTGAAGAAAAGGCTTTCCTTCCCTGGCTTTTCTAGTGTAGTAGAACCTGGCAAGGCTGGGTGGAGAAGTAGGGAAGGGTGCCTGTGTTCAGTGCCTTGGAGAGGCTTGAGTCCCGTGTTCTACGTGCGGTCGTGTTGGTACTTTGCTGCAGTCCTCTCCCCCGCCCAGCATCAGAAGGCGCTCTCGAGCGATCGCCAGGCTGACAGCTCAAGCCGGGCGTGGCGACGCTCTAGTCGCCGTTTCTCTATGCTAGGCAGAGTGGCCTTGGCCGCCGGAGTTGCTGGACTCTCTAAGGCCCTGGAGAAGCCTCCAGCTTGGTGTGCGGAGCCTGCGGATGCTGGTCATGGCGCGGCTCCCGAAGCTAGCAGTTTTTGATCTGGGTGAGGGACTGGGAGGGCAGAGTTTCATAGGGCGCTCTCCTTTCCCACACCCCAGCTGCAGCTCTCGAGTCCCCTGCATCCCCCAAGGCTGAACCTTCCCCCTTCTTCCTGTCGCAGATTACACACTCTGGCCTTTCTGGGTCGACACGCACGTAGACCCTCCGTTCCACAAGAGCAGGTGAGGCAGGGATAGGGAGGACTGGGGCCAGGTGAGGCAGGGATAGGGAGGCGGGGCTCGGCCGGACCTGAGCGCGCTCTCGCCCTCTCCAGTGATGGAACTGTGCGAGATAGGCGGGGCCAGGACGTCCGACTGTACCCAGAGGTGCCTCAGGTTCTGGAACGATTGCAGGGCCTTGGGGTGCCTGGTGCAGCAGCTTCACGGTAAGAAGAGCGACTAACAAAAGCTGTCAGCGTAATGCTGAAGGATGCATGCATGAAGAGACTTCTGCATGCCCTGGGCTACAAAAATTTAGGAGGTGCAAATTTGCAAGTATTTGCATACTTTTTCATTGTCCTCTCTCCTGTACTATTTAATTATTAAACATTGGCTCAGCGCTCCCTGTGTCAGGAAGGCTATGGAGTTGTAAAAAGGGCAAAGATTCCTATCCATCCTGGAAAAACAGCAAGTAGATTTCCCCCTGGTTATACTTAACTTTCCTTGCATTCCCTGGCCCTTCACTCTCCTAATCCCGTCTATTACACCTTTTTGCAGGACAGGTGAGATAGAAGGAGCCAACCAGTTACTGGAGCTCTTTGACCTTGTCAGATACTTTGCTCATCGGGAAATCTATCCAGGCAGTAAGGTCACACACTTTGAGAGGTATGCGGAGATAAGGGAGGAGCAGGGAGAGAGTACCAGAGAGGCTGGAGGAAAGAAGATGCCAGCTTGGCTACCCCCTGCCCTGTCTTGCACAGGCTGCAGCAGAAGACCGGAGTTCCTTTCTCTCAGATGATCTTCTTTGATGATGAGAGGCGGAATATTGTGGACGTCAGCAAACTGGGTACTGAGGGGCAACGAGAGCGATTTGGGGCATGAGGAGAAAGGGTTCTTTCTAGGAGGGATTAGGTAGACATACACAGGGTGGATAGTCTGCATGATAGGTGGCACCCATGAAAGGTGAGAGTAATAAGGGAGAGCACAGAAAGCCTGATGAAATGTGATTTTTTTTCCTTCTAGGTGTTACCTGCATTCACGTCCAGAATGGAATGAATCTTCAAACCTTAACTCAAGGGTTGGAGACATTTGCGAAGGCCCAAACTGGGCCTTGAGGTCCAGCCCAGTACATGAACCTCATTTGAGGCCTAAAACTGAAAAGAAATCAAGAAGGCATTTTCAGGTGCATTTGTAATTTATTAAAGTATATCTGTGTGTGACAGAAGACATCTTACCCACAGTGTAGGTGGTTTCTGTTTTTCTAGCCTGTGAACTGGGTTAGTTCTCCTGAAATGCAAAGACCCTACCTAGTGTGAGACATTAGGCTGCATGAGGTTCTGCCATATAAATTTGTGGCAACTCCAAGACTGTGATCCCCTTGTGCTCGAAACCATCCCACCCTACTTTCTTGAGCTCTGTAAAGGGCATGAAGAATCTTCCCACTCCCCCCATTTATTAGGGTGCCATGACACTGCACATTTCCTTTCAGGGTACAAATACATAACTCTGGGGTGGGTATGGGGGGACCTTTTCACGTAGTAGAAAATGAAAAGGCCGCTTTAAGAGGAGCGAGTCAATCGGGCTGGTGGCTCGGGTCACGTGACGGCGGTGGTCTTGTTTGCGCCTGTTGATGAGGTCGCGGCGGCGTCCCAAGTCGGGATTGGCTAAGGCTGGTGCCTGTGATGAGACCTCACCCTCCCGGGCACAAAGCGGAAGTGTGCAGGACGCCGAGGGGCGGAGGCGGGAGAGGCAAGGGCGCGATGAGTGGTCTCGGCAGACTCTTCGGGAAGGGTGAGCCCGGGCGGGACTGGTCCGCTAGGAGGTGCTGGCCGGAGCGGGGGGAGAGGAGACAGCGGCAACGTTCAGCCTGAGCGCAGCGCCGGGAAGGGGAAGAGACCCAGGAGACAGGCTGACCCGAAAACAGATGAGATGGCGGAGCAAGGCTCATCTCCGGTCCAGGGGCCTGCCTTGTAAGGGCGCCTTGCCCCCGTCTGCCTTCCTTGCCTGAGTGGAAGCCGTGGCGACCATGCTTGGCTCCCACTCTTCAGGCTTGTGGACGAGTTTCCCCGCTCTCTTCATTCAGTCCTTCCCTAAACTTTGTTCTACTTTGTGCTGGGCAAGAGGGATCTAAGGTGAAGAAGAAAGACTGCCTTCTTAAAGCTTATATCTATTGGTGAGAGACAAGCAAAACGAGGCATTTACAGTATGGTGTAGCAACTCAATGATGGATTTGCTCCTGGAAAACCAGAGAAACACAGAAGTAGGCATTGGAGGTGGTGACCAAAAAGGCTAGTAGTTTGCCAGGTGGAGAATTGAGGTACTTCAGGAAGCAGTAACAGGCTATGACAAGCGCAGAAGCAGGAAAGAGTATGGTATATTTAGGGGAAAGAGAAGCTCTGGCTGCCTTGTGAGAGAGAGTGTGTGTGATGAGGAGGGAAGTGTGGAGGGAAGGTAATCTCCCTGAAAAGTTTTGCATTTTGTCCTTAGGCAATGGAGAGTATGGAAGGGTTTTAAGCAGGCAGAGGTCATCAGATTTTTATTTGGAAAAATGATTCTGTTATGAGTATAGAAGAAGAGAGAAATTGAGATCAGATGTTCTTTTTCTCTAGCACCCTGTACTTCATTCAGTTTGATCCTGTGCAGTCAGAACCTTGAGCATTTTCTAAGACAGCAAGTGGAACAGTGATTATTAAAAGTTACTGGAAATGAAGGCCCAGCGTGGTGGCTCACGCCTGTAATCCTAGCACTTTGGGAGGCCGAGGCGGGCGGATCGCTCAAGGTCAGGAGTTCGAAACCAGCCTGAGCAAGAGTGAGACCCCATCTCTACTATAAATAGAAAGAAATTAATTGACCAACTAAAAATATATATACAAAAAATTAGCCGGGCATTGTGGCGCATGCCTGTAGTCCCAGCTACTCGGGAGGCTGAGGCAGGAGGATCGCTGAGCCCCGGAGATTGAGGTTGCTGTGAGCTAGGCTGACGCCACGGCACTCACTCACTCTAGCCTGGGCAACAAAGCGAGACTATCTTAAAAAAAAAAAAAAAAAAAGTTACTGGAAATGACTTGAAAGGCAGTTGGAATAGTGAAAAGAATATTGGCTTTGGAAGTCATATTGCCACATTTCAATTTCTGCACAATCTCTTACTAGTGATTTTTAACCTCTTTGTGCCTGTTTTCACATTTGTAAAGTGAAGATAGTACATTCATTGTAGAGAATTATTTAGGGATTAGCAATAACACAGTCAAGTGCCTAGCACTCAGTGATTAGTGGCTAATATTTTTCCTTCACACCATATGGGCCTGCTCCATTGGACTCTTCAGGGAAGAAGGAGAAGGGGCCAACCCCTGAAGAAGCAATACAGAAACTAAAGGAGACAGAAAAGATACTGATCAAGAAACAGGAGTTTCTGGAGCAGAAGATTCAACAGGAGCTCCAAACGGCCAAGAAGCATGGGACCAAGAATAAGAGAGGTAATGAGGGAAAGGAGCTGATGGGGAGGGCTGAGCAGGGAAGCAGGTGCTTCTGACTCTGATGTTCAGAGTGTGGGCTGGGTCAGCTGCCCTGCAGGCTTTGCGGAGGAAGAAAAGACTGGAACAGCAGCTGGCACAAACTGATGGGACATTATCCACCCTGGAGTTTCAACGTGAGGCCATCGAGAATGCCACCACCAATGCAGAAGTGCTTCGTACCATGGAGCTTGCTGCTCGAGGCATGAAGAAGGCCTACCAGGACATGTGGGTACGGGGGGAGGGAAGGAGAGGACCCAGTCACTGGGAAGGGTGGCTTGGTATTACACTTTGAACTTTAGAGCTTCTCAGAATGTGAATTTATAGTACAGATGCTTATCATGTCTAGTTCTCTGTCAACCTCCTTGCTTTTCTGGTAAGTTCCTTTTGCTGTCTGAGGCATTCTAGGGAAGAAAGATGATTTTCTCTAATTCTTAAAGATCTTTTGGGGAAGGGAATGCAACCTGTCCTCTCTAATGTGGCTTCTTGCTGTTTCTCAGGCCAGATTTGCCTCTTTATAATTTTCTAGGGATCTCTTCTACCTGATGGCCATGGGCTTATCAGTGTGAGGCCACAGGGCAGGAGGAGTTTCATTTGTGTGAGATGAGAAAGTCAGGGGGGTTATTGCCTGATTTCTTGGCTGTGTATCTTATCCTCAGGGACATTGACAAGGTAGATGAACTGATGGCTGACATCACAGAACAACAGGAGGTGGCCCAGCAGATCTCAGATGCCATTTCTCGGCCTGTGGGCTTTGGAGATGATGTGGATGAGGTGATTGGGGGTGAGGGGTCAGGGAATATTGGAGAAAGCATGGGACTGTCCAGAAGGAATGCCCAAGAGAGGATCTTGGGGCATGTTTGGGAGTGAACTCCAAAAGCAGTATGTTTTTAGAAGTAGAAGTTTCCTTTCTTCCTCTTGAACAGTCTTGTCATCCCATATCCAGGATGAACTGTTAGAAGAGCTGGAGGAGCTGGAACAGGAGGAATTGGCCCAGGAGTTGTTAAACGTGAGCGACAAGGAGGAAAAACCTCCAGTCAAATTGCCTAGCGTACCCTCTACACATCTGCCTGCAGGTCCAGGTATGTGGGATTGTTCTGTTGTCTCAAGAACTTGAGAGGGTGGGAGAGAGATTATTCCTCATTCACCCTGGCTCAAAGGAGCCAGGCAGAGAGGGCTGTTGCTGCAGTTGTGCAGGTTGTTGGCCTCATAAGGACACCTGGCTAGAAGGGAATGGGGACTGAAATCCAGCCTGTGCTCCACTCAGCAAGCTGTGTACTCTGGTTTAAGACTGTAAATGGCCAGGTACAGTGGCTCATGCCTGTAATCTTAGCACTCTAAGGAGGCCGAGGCAGGAGGATTACTTGAGCTCCGGAGTTTGAGACTAGTCTGAGCAAGAGCAAGATCCTGTCTCTACTAAAAGTAGAAAAAATTGTTGGGTGTAGTGGTGCATGCCTGTAGTCCCAGCTACTCAGGAGACTCAGACAGGAGGATCGCTTGAGCCCAGGAGTTTGAGGTTGCTGTGAGCTAGGCTGACACCATGGCACTCTAGCCTGGGCAACAGAGTAAGACTCTTGTTTCAAAAAAAAAAGGGGGGGACTGCAAATGCTGAGAGCAAGAAGCACCATTTTCCTAATTTGCACAAAGGTGCTATGGGAATGAGCAGCAGCCCAGCAAGCAGAAGGACCATGCCTTTTAGTTTCATTGCTGGGGAGAGAGAATTCCATAGGCTCTGAATGTCACAGCAAGGGATAATTGGGAGTTGCTGAGACCTTAACATTTCTCCTTTCTCTGTGTATCCTTGTTCCCAAAAGCTCCCAAAGCGGATGAAGATGAAGAAGCACTAAAGCAGTTGGCTGAGTGGGTATCCTGATGAGTCTGGGCTTGTTTGCCTTATGCTGCTTTTCTTGGCCCCTTTTCCTAAGTGCCAAGTGCTAAGCTAAAGGAGCATAGCTTTCTGGGGAGGTCCTGCTGAAGGTGGTGGTGTGATCCTGCCTGAGAAAGGGCTCTGTTGCCCTCCCAGCCCTGGCTACAACTCTGAAGAAGATCTTACTGCGGAAGGAGCCCCTGGGCTCTCCTCTCTTCCATGGCAGTTACAGTGTCCTTGCTCCCAATAAAACTGGGCACATGGAACCCTGGTATCTATACTGCCTTGTCTACAGTGGTAACTCTTCGCCTGGTCTGTGGAGCCTTGTTTCAAGCAATGAATAATGGGAGTGATGAAGGGGGGTTGGAACATAGGGCAAATGGTCATTTCCAATATCTTAATCTATGCTCTAGGCAGACACTGTTTCATCCTTCAAGTTGGTTTGTCCTAGAGTTGCCTAGTGCTGAGGTTGAAGAAACTGCCATCTATTGTTTATCTTAGAACCACGTGGAGCCATCTCAAGTCTTTACTCATCACTTTCCCCCAGTCGTGCCTCTGCCAAGACAGCCCCATTTTCCACTTACAAAGCACATTATCAATAACACGGAGGGAGTATCCTTCAAGGGATGGAAGGAACAAGTAGCTTTCCTTTATTCAGAACCCATAGCTAATAATTTTCACTACTAGAAGGCTTGATTTCTCACTTCTGTTTCTGGGAGCAATAGTGTAAGGAGCTCTGACTCCTTGGTACTGTTTTAGTAATGGTGAAGGTGACACTGGAGTAGGGGAAAATGAACCAATGTACTTCATACACCTTAGTACCCATGTCTAAAAGAACAAACAATGCTGTCACTTTGGACTACAGGCAGGCAGAGCCTTAGTCAAAGTGGAGCAACCAGGGCTTTTGCCCCACTGCTTGAACATTTAAACAGCACAGAAATGTAAAATAATGAGTGTATACTTAGTTGGATAATAAACCTTTCCAAAATCAGGCATTTATCTGAGCACCCCCTCCCCCATGAGCTACAACATCAGTTACACTGTTGACTTACTTAAGTGTCAAAATTGCTGGTTACAGGCTCTTGGCAGAAGTCCACCTATTACCCTCAGCAGTGTTCCCTACTAAGGTTCCCTTGAAAAAGGGGACTGTCTTTGATGCTGGCTGATAAAACTAAATCAGATTTATTTTTGGTATAAAAGATTTTTAGCCCCAGACCTTCCTGCGTTGCTCCTCTCTCAGCCCCTCCTCCTCAGCCATTTTCAGGTAGTGATTTCCAAGGATTGGTGACGATTAGTGGTGGTCGTGGTCTGGCACATGGCCTCAAGCAGCCTGATCTCATGGGTGGGTTGCTCAGGCTGGAACTTGAGCACCCAGGGATCCTTGAGGATGTCCAGGATGGTGGCACGCTTGGTAGCTTGGCGTAGCATCTGGAGGATCAGGTTCTAGGGCAGGGAGAGAGAGGTCTTGGCTGAGCTTGCCCCCCATTGTGCCACATAGGCAATGAGCAGCTGGATCTAAGAAAAAAGCAGGATAGCCCATCACACTGCTCTGGTGAGAGGGAGTTTGGCTCTGATTTTATCCTGGAGAGCCAGGCATTTAACTCCTTGGAGGGGCAGGTTAAGAGTTCCTTGGGGGAAATCCCTTGTATAATCCCCTTTTGGCCTGAAGGGATAGAAGCTAGAACTTGCATATCAAGCATATTGAAGGTTTGGAGTCCAGTGGTTGGCCCTTTAAGCCCTCCCCACTATTATAGGGCAAGACTAGAGTGTGAGAGCCTCCCCCCCCCCAGGGTTGGGAGGCCTAGGTTGGGTATATACCCCTCCCTGTGAGTCATCCCTGAGGCCTCAGTCCTCCTGGGGGAGCCAGCACCTTGCACTCCTGGGAGATGGTGTGGTTAGCCGGGAAAGTGATCTCCTTCTGAGTCTCTTTCAGCAGCTTCTTAAGATTGGTGTCATCAAAAGGCAGACGGGCAACCATTAGAGTATAGAGGATGACGCCCATGCTCCAGGTGTCGGACAGGAAAGGGTTGTAGGGCAAGCCTAGCAAGATCTCCGGGCAGGCATAAGCAAAGCTGCCGCAGTAGGTCTGGCTGAGGTGGGAAAAGCAGTTGAGTTGGCGGTAAGAAGCGCTAGTACGCACAGGCTGGCTAGAAGGCACCATCTTGGCGAAGCCAAAGTCCGATATCTTCACGTTCTCTCGTTTGTCCAGCAACAGGTTCTCCAACTTTAAGTCCCTACCAGCAGCAGAAAGGCTGGGGGTCAGGCTGGAGAGAGGGCTTAGTATTAGACCAGGAGCTGAAGGGCCAGGGGTCAGAGGCTAGAGATGGGGACAGGCAAAGTGAGAGGGAGATGCTTATGAGGTCACATGGTAGACAGAAAGGATAGCCATGGAGTTGTGAGCAGAGTCCAAGGGACAGAGAGAGAAGTTGGTATTTGAGGACCACCGGGAGCTCACACTGTATTTCATAAAGCATTCTGCATACAGTGAGTACTTTGTAAGTGTCCTTGACCAGATGACTAAAATAGAGTGGATGAATGGGCCAATGTTGAGGAGGGAGTTCAAGGGAGGAAAAAAAGGGCAGAAAATAGGAAACATGCATAAAACCCCCTGAGGGCTCAAAGGCTCCCGTCCAGGTGGCAGTGCCCTCACCGGTGCACGATGCCCTTGCTGTGCAGGTAGGCAATGCCCAGGGTCATCTGGGAGAACCACTTGCCAGCAAGGGGCTCAGAACAAGCCCCGTAGCGCTGGATCCATTCAAGGACATCACCACCCTGTGCCAGCTCCAGAATGATGTATACTCGGGATGTGGTCTCGATGGCCTGATAGAAGTTGATGAGGTACTTGTGCCGCAAGACTTTCATTACCTGACCCCAGAAGAGAGACCCATCAAATCTGGGAAGGGAGAACCCTGGCTGCATTCCCAGCCCTCTGCTACCCTCTCTGCCACTTACTTAGAACTTTGCAATGAATCAAACCCTGACCCCCAGAGGGCTGGTGGTCTGTGGGCAAACTCTGTTTTGAACTTTTATTTTTTGGGTGGCTAGAGGTGAGTGGATGGGTGGGAAAGAAGTTAAATTTACATCAAAGAATTTTCCTAGCTGCTTAGTTCTGGTTTGGGTGATTCTGGCCCCACCCTCTCGTAGCCATACCCCTTCTGAGGAACCTCAAACAGCTTAGTACCAAGCTCCAGTTCCCTCTTCCAGCACTTTCCAACCTGTATCTCACGGGGCAGGAACTTGTTAAGATAGTCTTCAGACGCCTTCTTCTTTGAGATGATCTTGACAGCTACCATGACCTTCTGCTTTGTGTAGTAAGCCTCATACACTGTCCCATAGGAGCCATTGCCAATGACTTTGCCCACCTCGTAACCATACTCCTCCATGACAGAACGGTAGGTTGTAGTGGTTGGTGCTGCGTCTACGGTATCTCCCTTCCCCATGGTGTTGGGCTTGCTGAGAACAGGGAGCTTTGCTACTTGGAAGCCTCCTGTCTATTGACAGGCCAACACCTTGAGCCACTGAAGACTAGTACCAAAGTGAAGTTAGTCTCCAAATGCTTGCCTGTGTAGTCACACAAGTCTGGGAAGCTGGGCTCAACCCTCCGCTAGGAACTTGGAGGGGGAAAGAAAGGAGAAGCCGTTCTTTTTGTCTCCACTGGCTGTTGTTCCTTCCTCCTCTTGGTTACGGAACTCCCCCAGAGTACCACGTTCCATACACATCACAATCTACCTTCTACCCATCATTGGCCACAAAGCTTAAGAATGAAGTGCCATTTGGAAAACATTCATTCTTGAAGGGAACTTCCACAATCTGGTGAGACTACCTCTATAGATCCAGCCCCTTCATTCATGTTCATTGATTACCTACTGTGTACCAGACAGTGTGCTGAATACTTGGATCAAATGTCACCCAAGTGTCATTCCAGACTCTTCTCCCTGCCTTGGTCCCTACATCCAATCTATCATCAAATCCTGTCTCTTCTACCTCCTAATTCTCTCTTTAATAATACACTCAAGGCTTTCCAAGCCCACTGCTGCTCCATTAGTTCAAAAGGCCAATAAAGACCATGCCCTTAGAGTTTACAATCCACCATGAGAAACACATGAGTGTGAGAATTACAGAGAATTGCAAGGTGTTGAAGCACGTTCTAGAAATCTAATCTTGAGAGACATTTTTTTTTTTTTTTTTGGTGACAGAGTCTTACTCTGTTGCCCGGGCACTAAAGTGCCATAGTGTCAGCCTAGTTCACAGCAACCTCAAACGCCTGGACTCAAGTGATCCTCCAGCCTTAGCCTCTCGAGTGGCTGGGACTAGGGTTCTGCTTGGCAATTGCATTGAAACAATGAGAGAGAGGTGTCAAGAACATAGGCAAGAATGTGGCTGAAATGATGGAATGCAGAATCTAAGCTGCATGAGTAGACAATCTAGAAACAGAAATAGGCCAAAGGTGCAGGAGGAGGCGTTGTAGGTCTCAGTGGAATGGAAGAACAAGTTTGGTGGAAATGACAAGAGTAAGGACAAGAGGTTGTGGTCACAGAGGTGTTATCTGGATTTAAGATTCTGTATAGAGGGTTGAGAGATGGGAGGCAGAAAATAACAAGACAAGAATCCAAATTCTTGTATCTTTCATCCTCCAAAATAGAACAAAAACTCCAATAACAGGTTATGCCATGGACTACTAATAAATTCCCATTTATTGACAGTCTGACCCTGCTGGCAAAATGGTTCCAAAGTTCTGTTGGAAGCCAGCTCTACCTCTTCAATGTAGCAAGATGGAGCAGTTGACCCAGGCACACCATGGTAAGGAGGCCCACCCAGTCCTGCCCATCTTCTGCTCCCATAAGCTGGCCGCTGGATAGGTGACTTGGTGGCAGCTCTAGTCTCACCATGTATAGAGAGCAAACTAGTTCCTTCAAGGAACATGTATTAAGCTACCTAGTATATACAAAAACACTGCTAGGTCCTGAGGACACAAAGGTGGACAAATTGTAGTCTTCCTGTGAGGAGTTAGAAATTGGCAAGGGAAACAGACATATAAGAAGTGAAAAACAGGCTGGGCAAGGTGGCTCACACCTATAATCCTAGCACTTTGGGAGGCTGAGGTAGGGGGATTGCTTGAGCTCAGAAGTTCAAGACCAGCCTGTGCAAGAGTGAGACCCCATCTCTACTAAAAATAGAAAAATTAATCAGGTGCTGTGGCATGCATCTATAGTCCCAGCTACAGAGGAGGCTGAGACAGGAAAATCCCTTGAGCCAGGAGTTTGAGGTTGCTGTGAGCCAGGATGACAACACTGTACTCTACCCAGAGTGACAGAGTAAGACTCTTGTCTCAAAACAAAACAAAAAAAGGAGTAAAAAACAGTGCAGGCCGAGCGTGGTAGCTCATGCCTGTAATCCTAACACTATGGGAGGCCAAGGTGGGTGGATTGCTCGAGGTCAGGAGTTCGAAACCAGCCTGAGCAAGAGTGAGACCCCCGTCTCTACTATAAATAGAATGAAATTAATTGGCCAACTAATATATATAGAAAAAAATTAGCCGGGCATGGTGGCACATGCCTGTAGTCCCAGCTACTCGGGAGGCTGAGGCAGCAGGATTGCTTGAGCCTGGGAGTTTCAGGTTGCTGTGAGCTAGGCTGATGCCATGCCACTCACTCTAGCCTGGGTAACAAAGTGAGACTCTGTCTCAAAAAAAAAAACCAAAAAACCAACAAAAAAAACCCCAGTGCAGTGAGATAAAATCCTATAAACAAACAAAGAAGAACATACATAGGCAGGCTTTATAGAGAAGGTGACATTCATACTGTTCAAAAAAAAGGATTCCTCCAAGCAGGTTAAGTAGAGAAGGGTAGATTGGTTGGTTTAGGTGGGAGGAACAACATGAGGCTTATAGGCTTGAGAACATGACATGCAAGATTTCAATTTGAGCACAGCATAGGGTTCTAGAAGGGGAATGTATCTGGAGAAGTAATTAGGATCCAAGTCTGAGAGGCCTCATGTCAAGCTATTTTGACTTTATCCTTGAGTTATATCCATGAGTATATAACTCATGGTCAAATTTTAGTGTGCATTAAAATCACAGCTTGTAGGCCGGGCGCGGTGGCTCAAGCCTGTAATCCTAGCACTCTGGGAGGCTGAGGCGGGCGGATTGCTCGAGGTCGGGAGTTCGAAACCAGCCTGAGCGAGACCCCATCTCTACTAAAAAATAAATAGAAAGAAATTAATTGACCAACTAAAAATATATATACAAAAAATTAGCCGGGCATGGTGGTGCATGCCTGTAGTCCCAGCTACTTGGGAGGCTGAGGCAGAAGGATCGCTTGAGCTCAGGAGACTGAGGTTGCTGTGAGCTAGACTGACGCCACGGCACTCACTTTAGCCAGGGCAACAAAAGTGAGACTCTGTCTCAAAAAAAAAAAAAAAAAATCACAGCTTGTGGGGGGAGGGGGGCATGGGCAATATATGCAACCTTAACACTTGTACCCCCATAATACGCTAAAAGAATAAAAAAAAAAAATCACAACTTGTTTTTGTAAAAATACTGGGCCGGGCATGGTGGCTCATGCCTGTAATCCCAGCACTTTGAAAGGCCAAGGCAAGAGGATCACTTGAGGCCAGGAGTTCAAGACCAGCCTGGGCAACACAGCGAGATCTCATCTCTATAAAAAAAATTTTTTTTAATTAGCTGGGTTTTGTGGCACGCACCTGTAATCCTAGCTACTTGGGAGGCTAGGACTCAGGAGACCCTGTTTCTTTTTTTTTTTTTTTTTTTTTTTTTTGACTGATAAGTTCCAACTCAAAGGAGACCCTGTTTCTAAAAGAATTAAAAAATAAAAAAATGTTTTTGAGACAGAGTCTTGCTCTGTTGCCTGAGCTAGAGTACTCTGTTGTCAGCCTAGCTCACGGCAATCTCAAACTCCTGGGCTCAAGTGAATATCTTGCCTCAGCCTCCCCAGTAGCTGCGACTACAGGCTTGCACCACCACACCTGGCTAATTTTTTCTATTTTTGTAGAGATGTGGTCTCACTCTTGTTTAGGCTGGTCTTGAATTCCTGACCTCAAGTGATCCTCCTGCCCTTGGCCTCCCAGAGTGCTAGGATTACAGGTGTCAGCTACCACATCTGGCCTAAATAAATGAAAATTTAAAGAATTTTTAAAAATACTGATGTCTCTGAGATCCTGATTTTAAAAAATCCTTCCAGTAGCAATGTGAAAAATGATCCAAGAAGAAAGTGACCAGTAGATTAGCAAGATAGCTGTTATGATGAGAGAAGATGAGTCCTGAACAAGGCAGTGGTAGAGGGCAAGCAGTTGGAAGATATTCAAGAAATAAGTGGAGAGGGCTTGGTAAGATTGATATTTGAGGGGTAGATATTGAGAAAGAGGCCCAGGTTTCTGGCTTTACAAACCAGGTGGTTGTCAGTTAAAGATAATTCCAAAGCCACTCGAAGTTACTTTTATTTTCTTTTTTTTTCTCACTTTGTTGCCCGGGCTAGAGGGCTAGAGTGCCATGGCGTCAGCCTAGCTCACAGCAACCTCAAACTCCTGGGCTCAAGCAATCCTTCTGCCTCAGCCTCCTGAGTAGCTGGGTCTACAGGCATGCACCACCATGCCTGGCTAATTTTTTCTATATATTTTTAGTTGGCCAATTAATTTCTTTCTATTTTTAGTATAGATGGGGTCTCGCTGTTGCTCAGGCTGGTTTCAAACTCCTGACCTTGAGCCATCCGCTAGCTTTGGCCTCCTAGAGTGCTAGGATTAAAAGGCATGAGCCACAGCGCTGGGCTGAAGTTACTTTTCTAATCACAAAATTCATTGTCTAAAACAACTCAACCACTTACTTCTTGGAACCTCATCTATGTCTGCAGGGGGAAGGGCTAAGTCAGAAAGGGCAATAATTGTAGAAGTAAATCAATGAAGGCCTTTTCAGGCCAGAAGTCACCTGTGATTTTCCACTGTACTTCTTTCCCCAGGGAGAGAGAACCTTAAGTCAGCTTCCTTACACGTAGCTCCCAGGCAGCCAAACGGAAGTCACTGCCCAGAGGTCTAATTTCGGGGGGTGGGGGGGGGGAAGTCCCTTGGCGGCAGAGCCCCTTTAGAATATCTGAGACAGACACAAGGTTAAACTTTTTCAAAATAATCTGCAATGAAAAGTTAAGAGAAGCCCAAAGACATACACAAAGTGAAAAGAACAAAAGCACAGAAAGAAACGAACGGACGGCAAAATTCTTTACCTCTAACAATAACACTGACAAGCTGCCCAACTCACAGCATAGAAGGTCACCCTATCTCTTTGCGTGCCTCTCTGCACCAAACCGGCCGCCGCCTTGCTAGTCGTTGGGCAACGAAAGGTCGCTGTCTGGCCCGGGAGGTCATTCTTATCTTCGTGTTTATTCTTTTGACGCGGGCCATTCATGACAGGTGAGAGAGGACTGAGGTGAGATTCAAACGGTGGGACCTTCCCATGGGAGCGATGCGCAAAGCCTCACCCCTGCCCGGGTTGGGGGACCCCTGAACCTCCTTCTCGTGGCTCGGCCTCAGCAGCCGATGGCAAGTCCCATGGATTCAGCCGGCGAACGCTTCGGGGCGTCCACTGGGTGCGGACTCAGCCGCCGCTGGTGCTCCATCTCCTTGGCCATCGCTGGGCGCGTGTGGCGGTCACAGCTCTCAGGCCTCCACCAGCGCGAGGCACAGGCGGAAGCTCCCGGCCCAGGCTCTCGCGCCCCAAATCTTCCCGGGAACAAGCGGGTGGCTCGGCAGCGATTCTTGTCCCGAAGAGGGGCCTTCGTCCTCGCTGCTAGGCCTCAGCCTCCTCTCCGGGAAACCGTCTGCGAAGAGTCTGAGCTGCCACAGCAGCGAGAGCCCCACTACATCCAGGAAAGCAGCCTCGGCCAGGCTGAGGTCCCCGCCGGTGAGGGCGGAAGTGGTAAGACTGACGTGTCCTGGGCTGCTCTTCTGATCGCCGGGAGGACTCCCCGCCGGGGACGGGCGAGCCCAGCCTCTCGGGGTCCTTGTAGCTGGGTCGGGCCTCCAGCTGGAGAAAGCTTATCCGGCAGCACTTGGCCGAGCCGAGCGCGGTGTCCAAGGTAGTGTGGCCGCAGCCACCGCGATCAGGCGCAGCGGCGGACAACCCCGTGGAATCGGCCGTCAGGTCCTCTCCAACCCGCAGCTACCGCGCCGCTCAGGGGGAGACCCCGGCAGGAGCCCAAGGGCAGCTACCGGGCTGCACAGGCCGCTGGCGCTGCCTCGGCCAGCCCTTCCCGCGCGGTGAGGACCGCGGGGCTGTGGCGGGAAGGGACCCGAGGTGCGAGGCCACGGAGTTGCCATGGAAACGGACCAGCGCGCGCTGCAGGGGCCCCTGGTGGGCGGGCGCGTGCTGCGGGAGGGGTGAACCCCAAGTTGGAAGGATCAGAGAGCACAGGCGGAGCCCAGTCTTTGGGATAGAGAGACTTGGAGTGAGTGGTGTGGGGGTTGAGAGGGCCACTGGGAGGAAGTGGAGCAATGGGTGTCAATGGGTGTCAATGGGTGTCGAGAGACCTAGGGGGTCATTAGTTGATCCCTGGTTTCTATAACCAACCGCAGGACTCCCCCAAACAGGTTCCATTGCCTTAAGGATGACAATCCTAGGGCACCCTCGAAGTTGGAGCTGCCAGTGGTTGCCAGTCCTGATACTGCTGCTGGGCACAGGCCATGAGCCAGGGGTGGAAGGCGTGACACACTACAAGGCCGGTGACCCTGTCATTCTATATGTCAACAAAGTGGGACCCTACCATAACCCTCAGGAAACTTACCACTACTATCAGCTTCCAGTCTGCTGCCCTGAGAAGATACGTCACAAAAGCCTTAGCCTGGGTGAAGTGCTGGATGGGGACCGAATGGCTGAGTCTTTGTATGAGATCCGCTTTCGGGAGAATGTGGAGAAGAGAATTCTGTGCCACTTGCAGCTCAGTTCTGCACAGGTCAGCCCTTTACACTGGTTATCACTTAGCCCTCCTTCCCAGGAACTAACAAGTGCCTTACATTTAAGGTTCAGGGTACCTTTATGGAAATTTTCTTATTTGATTCTAATACAACCCTGTGTGGCAGACAGGGGAGGTGATTTTATTCTAATTCAATTGACTAAGAAACGTCCTTAATAAAAATTACATAGATAATGAATTGCAGAGCTGATATTATTGGAACCCAGGGCTCCTTACTGCAAGCATCTTTGTTGGTAATAAGGTCCTAACTATCACTCCTACATAGTTCTTTTTCCTTCCATACCTACTTCTTGGCTCTTTCTTAGCTGGCTCCTTTAGTCTCTACCTAGCCTTCCCTATCATACTTTTTATTTAGTAAATCCTAACACTTCTCCTTAGTTTACTCCAGACCTTCTTACACCTTGCCTCTCCCCTTTTTCTAGGCCTTAACCCTGTCAAGTCATACTTATCCTTTTTTGGAGAACCCCAAAATAGTAGAGTCTAACCCAGTGATCCTCAACAGGGGACAGTTTTGTAACAAGGGACAGTTTTGTCTCCCAAGAGACATTTGGCAATGTCTGGAGACATAGCTACTGGAGTGTAATAGGAAGAGGCCAGGGATGCTGCTTCCTACAATGCATGACAGTCCCCCCGCCCACAACAAAGAATTATCCAGCCCCAAACATCAGTAGTGCTGAAATGGAGAAACCTTGTTCTAACCCTAGGCCTGGGGAGGGGAGGCCTTGTGTGACCAACTCCTGACTTACTCCTTATAGGTGGAGCAGCTGCGCCAGGCCATTGAGGAACTATACTACTTTGAATTTGTGGTAGATGACTTGCCAATCCGTGGCTTTGTTGGCTACATGGAGGAGAGCGGCTTCCTGCCACACAGCCACAAGATAGGACTATGGACCCATTTGGACTTCCACCTAGAATTCCATGGAGATCGAATTATATTTGCCAATGTTTCGGTGCGGGATGTCAAGCCCCACAGCTTGGATGGGTTACAACCCGATGAGTTCCTACGCCTTACTCACACTTATAGTGTGCGCTGGTCTGAGACTTCAGTGGAGCATCGGAGTGACAGGCGCCGTGGTGATGATGGTGGTTTCTTTCCCCGAACACTGGAAATCCATTGGTTGTCCATCATCAACTCCATGGTGCTTGTGTTTTTATTGGTGGGTTTTGTGGCTGTCATTCTAATGCGTGTGCTTCGGAATGACCTGGCTCGCTATAACTTGGATGAGGAGACCACTTCTGGAAGTTCTGGTGATGACTTTGACCAGGGTGACAACGGCTGGAAAATTATCCATACAGATGTCTTCCGCTTCCCTCCATACCGTGGTCTGCTCTGTGCCGTGCTTGGCGTGGGTGCCCAGTTCCTGGCCCTTGGCACTGGTGAGGTGATAAGAATTAATCAGGGATTTCTCTCAAGGGGTAGAACTAGGTAGGTAGTTTGTTCAAAAAAGGTCAGTGGATCTTCTCTTCTGTCTGAGATGAGGGGCAGACCTAAGGGATGGGGTGGCTTTATCAAGGATGTATGTATTCTATTGTGAGTTTTCTGGACAACAGAATTGGGGAGATTGTTTTGCTTAGAGGCCTTGGGTCTGGGAGAAAGACCTGATTCCTCTGAAATGGCTAGAAAAGGGATAGGTGAGGCCTAATACAGGCTTTCCACTACCACCCTGCAGGCATTATTGTCATGGCATTGCTGGGCATGTTCAATGTGCATCGTCATGGGTCCATTAACTCGGCAGCCATCTTGTTGTATGCCCTGACCTGCTGCATCTCTGGCTACGTGTCCAGCCACTTCTACCGACAGATTGGAGGCGAACGTTGGGTGTGGAACATCATTCTCACCACCAGTCTCTTCTCTGGTGAGGACTTCCCTTTCCCTGGTGGGCCTGGCTGGACTTAGGAATCAATAACATATCATGGAACTTGGGACAGAGTTAGACTAAGGCTGGAAGGGAAGGAATATAGGCAAAAGAAACAGAATTAATAAGAAAACCTTTGAAAAAATACAAGAATGCATTTATTTTAAATAGTTAAAAATTATTAAGCCCATAACATATCCTTGACAGGTTGGGCACAGTGGCTCACGCCTATAATCCTAGCATTCTGGGAGGCCAAGGTGGGAGGTTGCTTGAGGCCAGGAATTCAAGACAAGCCTGAGCAAGAGTGACGCCCTGTCTCTACAAAAATATAAAAATTAGCCAGGCATGGTGCTGTGGGCCTGTACTCGCAGTGACTAGGGAGGCTGAGGCAGGAGGATTGCTTGAGCCTAGGAGTTTGAGGTTACTGTGAGCTATAATGATGCCACTACATGCCAGCCCCAGCAACAGAACAAGACTCTGTCTCAAAAAAAAAAAAAAAAAAAGTCCTTGGCAGTGTGGTGAGCACTCAACATGCCTTCATCTCATTTAATCCTCACAATAACTATATGAAGTAGGTAATAATCCCATTGCACAGATAAGGAAATTGAACTTCAGGCTGGTAAGGTAACTTGTCTGAGATTGCACTGCTAAAAAGTAGTGAACCAGGTTTCAGACCTAGGAAGTCTGGCTTTACAGCCTGTATTCTCAACCATTCCACTAAAATAACACCCTTGAATTTATTTTTTTGATATTCCTTCTTTTTTCATTTTTGAAGTGGGCCCACTCTAGCCTTTCAAACCAGATTGCCCTTTTATTTATTTTTTTTGTTTTTGTTTTTGTCTGAGATTGCCCTTTTAAAGGCGGTAGTGATCTGCATTCTGAACCATTCTTATTCCCAATCCTGTGTGTCTGATTTACATCCCATCACATTTATATTTGAACCAGGGCTTTCTGAGAATAGGGCCTTAATCCAAAGAAATATCTCATGCTATGAATTATCACTACCATGCCAAGACAGGCCCCTGGAGGCAGGTGAATTTGTGTCACTTCGAGATCATTATGTAGCAGCTACCTTGATTCTTAATGACACTGGGTAGGGGAGGGGTGTTGGTAAGATAAGGAACAAAGAACAATGGGATATGAAAGGTAGGTTCACTCAGCATGGACACCCAGGAGCACAGGTCTGCTGTTAGCTGCTTCATCCCCTCCCCTTAGGGCCATTGTGAGTGGATGCCCTCAGGGATATAGTCCTAGTGCTGACCCTCCCTGTGGGGGCCCATCCTGCAGTGCCTTTCTTCCTGACGTGGAGTGTGGTGAACTCGGTGCATTGGGCCAATGGTTCAACACAGGCTCTGCCAGCCACCACTATCCTGCTGCTTCTGACGGTTTGGCTGCTGGTGGGCTTTCCCCTCACTGTCATTGGAGGCATCTTCGGGAAGAACAACGCTAGCTCCTTTGATGCACCTTGTCGCACCAAGAACATCGCCCGGGAGATCCCATCCCAGCCCTGGTACAAGTCTACTTTCATCCATATGACTGTTGGAGGCTTCCTGCCTTTCAGGTATCCTCCCTTTATTCCATGGCCCTCACTCTCAGGTTCCTGACCTCAGCTTTTCCTGTCCCTACTCACCCAGTACCCTAACCCAGCACCCTAACCCAGCATTAGTGATAATCCCTGGTTCATCTGTACCATTCAGAAATCATTAAGTGGTTCCTCCTATTCCCAGGCAGGACTGAGCTTGAATCAGTTCTGATATGAGAGTGTCTTACTTGTAAAGGCCTCCAGTGACATTGCTCCCTTCGCCATCTTCCTGGTTTCTGACCTTAGTGCCTACAGGCATCATGTGAGGCTTAAAGCCCATTTGATTATTCATTCATTTGTCAACTACCTCTTTGTGCAAGGCAGATACTGCAGTGTTAAATAAAATTGGCAAGATCCCTGCTCTCAATCTATCAGGAGAGTTGTTCTTGAAATGAGAGCGGCTAATCATATGCAAAAAAAAAAATTCCCCATGAAACCAGAGAGTAGGGTGGACTCACTTTCCACAGTGACCCAGCAATATGGGAGGGTGGGGGCTGGATTTTGGCCCAGCCACTGTGCTGACAGTGCACAGCCCTTTAATGCTGTGTATCATCTCTTCTCTTCACAGTGCCATCTCTGTGGAGCTGTACTACATCTTTGCCACAGTGTGGGGTCGGGAGCAGTACACTTTGTATGGCATCCTCTTCTTTGTCTTCGCCATCCTGCTGAGTGTGGGGGCTTGCATCTCCATTGCGCTCACCTACTTTCAGTTGTCTGGAGAGGATTACCGCTGGTGGTGGCGATCTGTGCTGAGTGTTGGCTCCACTGGCCTCTTCATCTTCCTCTACTCAGTTTTCTACTATGCCCGACGCTCCAATATGTCAGGGGCAGTACAGACTGTAGAGTTCTTTGGCTACTCCTTACTCACTGGTTACATCTTTTTCCTCATGCTGGGCACTATCTCCTTTTTTTCTTCCCTAAAGTTCATCCGTTATATCTATGTTAACCTCAAGATGGACTGAGTTCTGGATGGCAGAACTATTGCTCTTCTCTCCCTTTCTTCACAGCCCATTGAGCTCTCCTACCAGCTTCTCTTCTCATTGGAGTGACTGAATTGTGTGATGGCATTGTTGCTTTGCCCTTTGGGCCTCCCTTCCCCAGAGAGGGCCTGGAAATTATAAGTCTCTATTATATAAGGAGTATATATTTGAACTTTTTAAGTTGCCTTTAGTTTTGGTCCTGATTTTTCTTTTTACAATTATCTAAATAAAATTTATTAAGAAAAAGGATGCTGTAGTTGGAGGTTTTGGTCTGGATATTGGAACTCGAGCCCTGCCGTTAAGGTCACGGTCCTTAGAAAGCCAAGTTGGCAACTGAATGCACGAAACCCGAGTTCTCCAACCAAGTTTGGGAACTCTCGGCGCGGGGAACCTACTTTGCAAGGGCCCTGTTTCCGCGGCACAGCCGGCGCTCATCCTAACGGAAGTGGCAGAGCCGGAGCTCTGGGAAGTGAGTTGAATCACCCTGGCTACCCGCTACCCGCGGGGCGCGCAGCAACGCCCTTTCCGCCGGAAGTGGGTGTCAGAACCTCCACGTGCTGTCCCTCCCCCTCCCGGCCCGTAGCGGCGGCTCAGCTGCTGCCATGGAGCCCGCCGGCCTGGAGCAGCTCCTACGGGAGCTGCTGCTGCCGGACACCGAGCGCATCCGCCGGGTACGGGGCAGGTGGGACGCTGCCAAGGTGAGCGGGAGGTTGCGGGAATGGGCTGACTCTGACCCCCAGCCTTCCCCCAGGCCACTGAGCGGCTCCAGATCGCTTTTCGGGACCCCGCTGCCTTGCCGGCTCTCTGCGACCTGCTGGCCTCGGGGACCGACCCTCAGGTGAGGCCCCTGCCCTTCCCGCCAAGCTTTCTACAGTACACCACTGGTCAGGCAGTATCCGCCCCTGTGGCCGGTTCGGCATCTTCCTGCCCGGACCCCCGCATCCCTACTTCCTCATCCTAGATCCGCCAGTTCGCGGCTGTGCTGACCCGCAGACGACTGAACACCCGCTGGCGACGGCTGGCAGCGGAGCAACGGGAGAGGTGGGCTGGGCCTGGGGCGGGGCGGGGCCAGGCTGAGGCGGCTCTTGGGCCGGCCTGGTACCAAACACCTGCCACCTGTGTTCCAGCCTCAAGTCCCTGATTCTGACGGCCCTGCAGAAAGAGACAGAGTAAGTGCCTACCGCCTTCTCCAGATCCTAACTGACTCTATCGAGGCTGAGACCCTCTCTGGGTTTCTGCCTTCTCTTTCAGCTCCGGGCTGGGATTTGGGAGGCAGGGACTTCAGTCCGAGGATAGAAGGAGGGTTCTAAGGCTGTGTTGAAGACTAAAGTTCTTGAGAATGGGCTGTGATAGTTTGCCAAACCCAAGTCAGAAGAATGAGACTGAGATTCAGGCCGAGACTGAACTCACCAGATTACATACCCCCAATGCTGCTGGGTTCCCTCCAGCTACTGTCTCATGTGTCCCAACTTGGCAAAGACTTGTGTTCATATCTCCTGAAGGTTTCTCTCCTGGCCACTCCCAGGAGGCTGGGCCACTGGGTGCAGGGGAGAGTATTGGAGAGTGATTGGGGGACCTCCTGTTTGCAGGCACTGTGTGAGCCTCAGCCTGGCCCAGCTGTCAGCCACCATTTTTCGAAAGGAAGGCCTGGAGGGCTGGCCTCAGCTCATGCAGCTTCTTCAGCACTGTACCCACAGCCCCCACAGCACTGAGAGAGAGGTCTGTACCATCACATGGTTGGCAGGAGGTAGGGACTGAGGGGCTGGATAGACCATGTAAGCTTTTCCTTCCCATCCCTAACTTCCAAACAGATGGGGCTTTTACTGCTGAGTGTGGTGGTGACCTCCCGGCCCCAGGCCTTCCAATCCCACCACCGAGAGCTTCTCCGGCTTCTGAATGAGACTCTTGGCCAGGTGGGCTCTCCTTGGCTGCTCTTCTACTCCCTGCGCACTCTGACTGCATTGGCCCCCTACCTCAGCTCTGATGACGTGGTGAGACATGGGCCCTTACCTCTCTGGCTCCCTTTCCTTAGGCTTTTATGTCCTCACCCTTAAAGGTTACAGAACAGCTTCAGGTTCTTTACCTGCCTTCCTAACAATTGAGAAGGGATACTGTAGGGCCTGGCTGGTGTGCCTGGCCTCCTTCTGAGAGTCCAAGCTATGAGGAAGCTGCTGACTTCTGGGCCTGAGATTAGGCTGCATCATGCTTTTTGTGACTCAGTTCATCCTGTGTCCCCCCAGTCTACTGCTCGGATGTTGGTGCCCAAGCTCATCGTGGCAGTGCAGACTCTGATCCCTGTAGATGAGGTAAGCGTGGGTGGGCAGGAGCTCTGCTGGAAGGAGACTATGGGAGCATCCAGCCTCTCCACTGAAGAGGAGTGTGGTAATCCTATGACTTGTTTGTCTGTCAGGCAAAAGCCTGTGAGGCCCTGGAGACCCTGGATGAACTGCTGGAGTCAGAAGTACCCATCATCACCCCCCACCTCTCTGATATCCTTACATTCTGCCTGGAGGTGAGCATGGGGGGAGGGCACAGCCCCTGCTGCACAACTGCTGGGAGTTTCCCTGCCTGTCTCTGATTCTTGTTTGTCTCTGAGCAGGTTGCTAAAAACATGGCCCTGGGCAACGCAATCCGTGTGCGTATTCTCTGCTGCCTGAATTTCTTGGTCAAAATCAAGAGCAAGGTGGGTGCCCTCTGATGCACATCACCCCACTCCTATCTCCACCTTTAGTCTCAGTCCAGGGGCTTTCTGTCCATCTCAGGGTATCTAAAGTACCATGCAGCGTCAAGCCTTGGCCTGGCCTCACCCCAGCTCCTGCAAGGGAGATTAGGAGTCTCCTGTTGGTCTCCTGTTGGCCCCCTTGTGGCCTGAAAGCCGGGAATTTTTAATGTGAGCCCATCTTGGAAGCAGATTCTCAGGGACACTGTTCTCTGTCAGGCCTTACTGAAGCATCATCTCCTGCCACCGTTGCTGCAAACCCTTTTCCCCATTATGTCTGCTGAGCCCCCACTGGGCCAGTTGGATCCTGAGGACCAGGAGTCAGAAGAGGAGGAATTGGACATTGGGCTGATGGGGGAGACTCCCAAGCACTTTGCTGTACAGGTGGGATATGGGACAGGATCGGGGGCAAGGTGTTAGGGGGCTATGGGAGGTTAGGGAGGCAGAGATGGGGTCGAGCAAAGTCTTCTCATCCTTTCTCAGGTTGTGGATATGCTGGCACTACACTTGCCCCCTGAGAAGCTCTGTCCCCAGCTGGTAAGTGTGGCACAGTCCTTCTGGTGACCCTACCCCCAGGTGTGCCTAGTCCCCTGAGGCCAAGGATGTTTGGACCCTGGGAGGCATAAAGGGCCTATTGCCAAGGAATGGGCAGGCTCTTGCAGGGGTTTCAGGAGAATGCCATGTACTCCCCTAGATGCCCATGGTGGAAGAGGCCTTGCAGAGCGAGAACCCGTACCAGCGCAAAGCTGGGTTCCTGGTGCTGGCTGTGCTGTCTGACGGAGCTGGTGACCATATCAGACAGAGGTCTGTCTATTCCCCTGTCCTGGGGTGAGGGTGGGCCATGGGGTGGAGGATCATGTCAGTTGCGGTTTATGCTTATTATTTCAAACTCCTGACCTCGAGCAATTCGCCCACCTTGGCCTCCCAAAGTGCTAGGATTACAGGCGTGAGCCACCGTGCCTGGCCCTATACTTATTGTTCAAGCTTAATTATCAGTATCATTCTCTCCCATTCTCAAAAGTGTAATGGTGTGGAAGATAAATGAAATGGCATCCCAGCTATAGGGACCAGGAGATGGTGCCCACCATCTGGTGGCAGAAAATTCTTGATTTTTCCAGGGGAAATGAAGAGGAGAACAGGTTAGCCTAGAGCTCTTAGGTCCTGCCTCTCAGACTATATCCTCTTGTCCTGCCCCTATCCAGACTGCTGTCCCCATTGCTGCAGATCGTGTGCAAGGGCCTGGAGGACTCCTCGCAAGTTGTGCGCAATGCTGCGCTGTTTGCCCTAGGCCAGTTCTCAGAGAACCTACAGGTCAGCAAGGCTGAATGTGGACAGCTGCCACTTCAGAGTCCCCTGCCTGTGCCAGGGACCAGCTTCCCCTCAGCTTTCATCTGATTAAGCTCCCTTTCTGCCGTTGGCACGTGTGCCCTACAGGTGAACCTGACTTAGGCCCCAATTGCTCCTTTTCCCAGCCCCATATCAGCAGCTACTCAGGGGAGGTGATGCCACTGCTCATTGCCTACCTGAAGTCGGTGCCTCCTGGACACACACACCACCTAGCCAAGGCCTGCTATGCCATGGAGAATTTCGTGGAGAACCTAGGTAGTGACGGTAGTGGGGAGCACGGGGGGAGGGTGGGGCCACAGCTTTGGCTAAGGGGCACAGGATATGCATATACCTCAATTGGTGCCACCTGTGGAAATAGGGATATGGCAGGGCCACAAGCAGGGTCAGCCCAGAGGGAGGGGATCACACAGCAGGCTGGAGACCTGGTTTGCGTGGTAGAGGAATGTCCTTTCCCACAGGGCCCAAAGTGCAGCCTTATCTTCCGGAGCTCATGGAGTGTATGCTGCAGCCTCTGAAGAGTCCCAGCAGTCCTCGGGCCAAGGAGCTGGCTGTGAGCGCCCTTGGCGCCATTGGTGAGGAGAAAGGCAGGAGGTGTGGGCATAGGGTTCACCCAGAGAGCCTGTGGCAGGCGGTCCCTGCTCCCCTTCAGCTCTGCTTCTCCCTCTGTCCTGCAGCCACAGCTGCCCAGGCATCCCTGCTGCCCTACTTCCCCTCCATCATGGAACACCTGCAAGGATTCTTGTTGACACGTCACGAGGACCTTCAGCCTGTGCAGATCCAGAGCCTGGGTGAGTGAGATACTCCCAGTACCAGGGAAGGTGTGATGCTCACCTGGTGTTCACAGAGACTGGCCCCAGGGCAGCATGGGTGGCTTCTTATCAAAGGAGGCATCTTCCATGCTGTACCTACAAGTAGGGTGGGATTTCTGAACTTCTCCCCGCTGCCACCTTTGGTTCCCTGGTCCACCTCCATATCCTGGTGCTAACGGAGCCCTTGACCCCACAGAGACACTGGGGGTGCTGGCACGAGCAGTAGGGGAGCCCATGAGGCCCCTGGCTGAGGAATGCTGCCAGCTGGGGCTGGGCCTCTGTGACCAGGTAGACGACCCTGACTTGCGGCGCTGCACGTGAGTTACCCTCACCCTGCCCCTGCCCCCACCCCTCCTGTCCACCTGCTGGACCCCCAGTCCCCACCCCAGACTCCAGTCCTCTGGTTTTGGACCATAGCCAGATTTCCCTAGGTTCCCCCATCCTGTCTGGCTATAGCAGGCAGGACCACACAGCTTCTCTCTGCTTCAACCAGGTACAGCCTGTTTGCAGCCTTATCAGGGCTGATGGGTGAGGACCTGGCGCCCCACCTGCCACAAATCACCACGCTCATGCTGCTGTCATTGCGTTCCACCGAGGGCATTGTGGTGAGCAGAGAGTGGGTGCACTGGGCCAGTTGGGCAAGGCCAACCCCATGGTGGGATTTATCTCCTGGGCCAAGCTGAGCCAAAAGGCCCTGCTGTGCCTCCTCCATCCAGCCTCAGTATGATGGAAGCAGCTCTTTCCTTCTGTTTGACGATGAGAGTGATGGGGAGGAAGAGGAGGAGCTCATGGATGAGGATGTGGAAGAGGAGGATGACTCCGAGATCTCAGGGTACGGAGAGGGTACTATTCTGGGTCAGAGGAATCTAGACTTTGATTCTGGACAAGGGCCCAGTGCCAGCTCTGCTCCTCCTAGTGCCTGACCACCACTGCCTCCTCACCTTACTCTAGGTACAGTGTGGAGAATGCCTTCTTCGATGAGAAGGAAGATGCCTGTTCTGCTCTGGGGGAGATCTCTGTGAACACAAGGTGAGCATTAGTCCTTTCCTGGCACTAGGAACCTGCCTGGAGCCCCTGCCCCACGGCCATATGTCTCTCCACAGTGTGGCCTTCCTTCCATACATGGAAAGTGTCTTTGAAGAAGTATTCAAACTGCTGGAGGTGAGTGAGCCAGTGGCACAGCTGGTGGGGTCCTCAGGCTGGGGGACCCGTGTTCAGCTCTGCACACAGCAGGCACATTCCACCCTCCTTGTCCCACAGTGCCCTCACCCGAATGTGCGAAAGGCAGCCCATGAGGCTCTGGGTCAGTTCTGCTGTGCATTGTACAAGACATGTCAAAGTTGTCCCTCAGAACCCAACACTGCTGGTAAGAAGGGGAGGCTGGGCCAGGCTGTGGTCTCAGGGGGGAGGGGCAGGGCCTGACTGAGGCTTTAGCCAAAAATGTCCCCAGCTCTGCAGGCTGCCCTGGCCCGAGTGGTGCCATCCTACATGCAGGCAGTGAATGGGGAACAAGAGCGCCAGGTGGTGATGGCCGTGCTGGAGGCCCTGACGGTGGTGCTGCGCACCTGTGGGACCCTAACACTGCAGCCCCCTGGGCGCCTTGCCGAGCTCTGCAGCATGCTCAAGGCTGTGCTACAGAGAAAGGTGAGCAGGGCAGGTGGGCTTCGGGAAGAGGCCCTAGTGCCAGGCCTAGGTGGGGGATAGTCAGAGGCTACAAATCCAGCTGTCCAGCTCCATCCCTGTCCCCCATGAAAAGGAGAAGGGGCAGGAGGAGAGCCCAGGCTAAGCTAAGCTTTTTCTTCCTGCAGACAGCCTGTCAGGACACTGATGAGGAGGAGGAGGATGAGGATGACCAGGTAAGAGCTATGGATGAAAACTTGGGACCAGGCAGTCTGGATAGTCTCACGGGGGCAGGGGTAGAGTGTGCACTTGGGCTTGGCTTGGGGCAGCCAGGGCCACCAGAAGAAATTGATAATGGCCACAATGGTGTAACCTTGATCCCACTAAGCCAGTGGGAGTTCAAGAAAGGCACTATAGACTGGGGTGGGCTTGGAGTGATAGGTGGGAACAGACCAGGTGAAGAAGCTGGGCTGTGAAAAAGCCCAGCCTGGGAGGGGCAGCCCCAGGGACCACCTGTAGCCAGTGGTAGAACATGGTGGGGAGGTGGGCACACAGAGCTGGCCCTGGTGTTCCAGTCCCTGACCTGGCTCCACAGGCTGAATATGACGCCATGTTGCTAGAGCATGCTGGAGAGGCCATCCCGGCCCTGGCAGCTGCGGCTGGAGGAGACACCTTTGCCCCCTTCTTTGCCAGTTTCTTGCCATTACTGCTATGCAAGACAGTAAGTGTCCGTCCTCTGGCTTGGAACCCTAGTTCACTTGTGTACCCCATGCCCACCCCAGCCTTTATCCTGGTACCAGGCTGATTTGTGTTCCTCCTCCCCACCCTCCCCCATCAGAAGCAGGGCTGCACAGTGGCAGAGAAGTCCTTTGCGGTAGGGACCTTGGCGGAGTCTATTCAGGGGCTGGGTGCTGCCTCAGCCCAGTTTGTGTCTCGGCTGCTCCCTGTGCTGTTGAGCTCCTCCCGGGAGGCAGACCCTGAGGTGCGGAGCAATGCCATCTTCGGGCTGGGTGTGCTGGCAGAACATGGTGGCCGCCCTGCCCAGGAGTATCCTTAACTTACAGAAGGGGAGGGGAGTGGTTGGGAGAGTGTCCTTAGGATTTGGGGATGGGTGAAGTCTACCTGTGTATGTGCCCATTCCTTGACTATGGACCAGACACTTCCCCAAGCTGCTGGGGCTCCTTTTGCCCCTCCTGGCACGGGAGCGACATGATCGTGTCCGTGACAACATCTGTGGGGCGCTCGCCCGCCTGCTGATGGCTAGTCCCACAAGGAAACCAGAGCCTCAGGTGAGAGAGGGTGGCCAAGCAGAGCCTGGAAGCCGAGGAGGGTTGTGGAGAGGTCAGGGCCAGTTGGCCTGAGGCATCTGTATCTCCAGGTGCTGGCTGCCCTGCTGCATGCCCTGCCACTGAAGGAGGACTTGGAGGAATGGGTCACCATAGGCCACCTCTTCAGCTTCCTATACCAGAGCAGCCCTGACCAGGTACGCTCCATGCTGACAGCCCTCAGAGCGGGGGAATGCAATGCTCCAGTCTCAGGGAGAGGGAGAGGTGGTGGCAGTTGCAACTGTGCAGCGTTACAATTTCAGCTGTCTGTAGACATCCCCTAGTCATCGTTTTCTTATTTGTCTACAAGGATTGGCAGCCAGTCCTGAATGGGAGAGGATGGGCTTCCTCTCTCCTCTTAGCATTTTTCCTTAGGGAGCTCCATTTCTACTTTCTGGTCTGAGCCAGAAATTGCAGCTTTCCTAGGCTAATTTCCTAGACCGCAGCTCTTTCAGACTGTGCTGCACGGAGCCCTGGGTACCCCTTGGCCGCCTACTATACATTTCAGTCAGAGACGCTCTGCTTTCTAAAGACGTTTTCCCTGTACCATGTGGCTGGGTTTGGACTCATGTCCCAGTGTTTCTGTGTCACCTTTGTCTTACACCTTTAGAGACTATTGTGTTGGTGGAGCACCTCCTGGGTGTCCCGGCTTCTTTTGTTCTTCAGGCTATGACTTTAATCCTCTTGTCACACATCCCCTATCTTTTCTAAAAAAAAATTACCACCACCATGTTTCATTGGTCTTTCTCATGTTCACAGTTGTCTCACATGCCTGTGAATCAATATGAGGCTCAGACAGCCCTAAAAGGAGACTTGCCCTCTCCTGACCACCCACCCGAGTCCTGGGGCCTAGGGCTGCTACTGCCTCTGAGTCAGCCATTCTCTCCCCACAGGTTGTAGATGTGGCTCCTGAGCTCTTGCGCATCTGCAGCTTCATTCTGGCTGATGACAAAATCCCACAAGGTGAGGGTGGCAGTTGTGGGTAGGGGCTGGGGGGAGGTGGGGAACAGTGGGTCTCAGAGGGCTTGGGGTGGCAAAGGTTGAGGGTCCCAGTCCTCCCCCAGGACCTCTCCCTCTCATTCTCCACCCAGACACCAAGGCCGCACTGCTGCTGCTCCTGACGTTACTGGCCAAACAGCATACCGACAGCTTCCATACGGCGCTGGGCTCACTGCCTGTTGACAAGGCCCAGGAGCTCCAGGCTGTACTAGGCCTCACCTAGACTGCAGGCTGCAGCTGGGGCAGAGAACAGAGCCTGCTCAGGCCCTAACAGGCCCTAAGACCACCTCTCAGCCCAGTTCCAGCTCACGCCTTACCAAAGATTCTGGGCCTCAGACCCATTTTGAGTCAGCCCTGCTTGCTGCCTTCCAGGGGTAGCCCCAGGGCTGGATCTGTTACAAAAGGAGTCATGACATCATACTGTAATAAAGGCAGTTTGTTTTCTGCTTAAACAGTAGCTCTGAGAACAGGAAGGATGGAGATGCACATTCAGAAACAAGGCAGGCAGGGCCCAGTGAGGCAGAACTTGGTTTAACGTAACCAGTTTCCTGGCAGCTTTGTAAATGGCCTCTAATCTTGGTGGAACCTGGGCCCTGGCCGGATCAGGAGGCGCCCATACGGTTTCTCTTGTTCCACGTGAAGGATCTGCTGTGTTGAGAGCACTGGTCAAGAGGGGAAGAGAGGGCGGGTCAGGTGGGAAGTCCCTATATCAGCCTTTGGTCTGTGTGTCCCCACCCTACACACACACTCTCACTCACCTAGGAGCAGGTAGAAGACCCGGGCAGCCATCCTGCGCGGGCTGAGAGGTGGCACTAGGCTGCTGAAGTCAGGCTTCCTGTTGGCCTGCAGCTCCAGGGCCACTGCCCTGTAGGGAACAAGAACTGTTAGCTGAAGACCCAACCCGGGTCCACCCCTTTGAGGCACCCCTCCCTGGTACCTGTGCACGGACTCTAGTGAGAGCAGCCCAGGCTCCAGGGGTAGCTCCAAAGGCATCTCCATGGGCACCTCAGGGAGTTCGGGCACCACGGGCAATGCAAGGGGCTCTGGCTGCTCTGCCTCAGCCCAGGCCCTAAGAGAACATGGGAGTCATGCAGGAAAAGTGGCAGCTGTGACAGTGATGAGGGGCATACCCATCCTAGCAGCCATTTCCCCCACAGCTCCCACAAAGCCTGCCAGCTTACCACCGTTCTTCTGGTGGGATGAGGCTGATACGGGACTTCTCCTCTTCAGCTGCTTCCAAGGAGAGCTCTGTTGAGGGGAGGAAAGGTGCTGAGAGGGAGTCTTTAGGCTCTATGCAGTCAGGACCCTGTGGCCACTTGGTCTGAGTAGATGCCAGAGCTGCAGTGACTTGTTAAAAGTGCATACGTAGCTGGGCACGGTGGCTCACACCTGTAATCCTAGCATTCTGGGAGGCCGAGGCGGGCAGATCACTCGAGGTCAGGAGTTCAAAACCAGCCAGAGCAAGAGTGAGACCCCATCTCTACTAAAAATAGAAAGAAATTAATCGGCCAACTAAAAATACATAGAAAAAATTAGCCGGGCATGGTGGCACATGCCTGTAGTCCCAGCTGTTCGGGAGGCTGAGGCAGGAGGATTGCTTGAGCCCAGGAGTTTGAGGTTGCTGACGCCATGGCACTCTAGCCCAGGCAACAGAGTGAGACTCTGTCTCAAATTTAAAAAAAAAGTGCATAGGTGGGAGAAGTGAATAGAGTAGATCTACACTTCATTATGTTACACACCCTTACTCTGATAAAAACAGCTTCAGCAGTTGGGGTCCTTGTTTCCTGAGACAGTGGTTAGGGTGGTGGTCCCCACTGTCCTCTCTTCTCCAGGTGCTTACCTGAAGACACCATGAGGGGACCACTGGGCTCCTGGGCCTCCCTCAGGACCTGGGGATGGGAGAAGGAGAACTAAGACCCCAAGCAGCACGAGCGTCTGGGGCCTGGGCCTTAAGGCGCAAGACCAGTGAGTTTGTGCCCTGGGCCTCATGGCAGAAGGCAGCCTGCTGGGGCTCAGGCAGAGCGGGGCACCGAGGCTTCACAGAAGGCACTGTGGCACTTACTTCGATCTCACTCGGAGTTTCAGTCTTTCTCCTCTCCTCCTCAGCAGCTGCCGCCCTCTCAGCCTCTTCAGCCTCCTGGAGCAGCCTTTGCCTGAGCATGCTCGGAGGTGGCAGGGCACCGCGCTTCCAGAAAGCCAGTAGTTCTGGGGGTAGCCAGCCAGCTGGGGATAAGGGTTGGAGGCATGAGGAACACCAAGAGTGAGGAATCTGGGTTCTGAGGATCCTACAAGCTCAATTCCCACCATTCTTACTGTGAGTTGGAGTTCGGAACAACTCTGCAGGGCTCATGAGTGTCCTCTCGGGAGGCTGCACCATTGGCTGCGTGGTGAGGAAAGGCCAGAGGCCCCGTTATGAAGGAGCTAGTCCTTGGTGCCCCTTCACCTTTCACAGTGCATTAGGACCTCTGCACACCCGCCCCCTTTCAGGCTCATGACACTGCCTGCCAGGCTCATTGCTAAAGGAAAGACTTTTTAGGCCTGGCGCGGTGGCTCACACCTGTAATCCTAGCACTCTGGGAGGCTGAAGTGGGTGGATTGCTCAAGGTCAGGAGTTCGAAACCAGCCTGAGCAAGAGCAAGACCCTGTCTCTACTATAAATAGACATAAATTAATTGGCCAGCTAATGCATATATATAAGAAAAAATTAGCTGGGCATGGTGGTACATGCCTGTAGTCCCAGCTACTCGGGAGGCTAAGGCAGCAGGATTGCTTGAGCCCAGGAGTTTGAGGTTGCTGTGAGCTAGGCTGATGCCATGGCACTCACTCTAGCCTGGGCAACACAGCTAGACTCTGTCTCAAAAAAGATTAAAAAAAAAAAGGAAGGACTTTTTAGTGGAGTGCCCATGGGTGCACTAAGGAGCACCAAGAGTTGTGTGTGTGCAAATTCATGTCACAGGTGCTTACTGAGGATTGGAGGGGAGTTTAACCAAATTCACAAATGCCCCCCCAGGAGTTTAGAAGGCCCAGCCTGTACCTGCCCCAGGACATCCCTCCCTCCCCAGCAGAGCCTGTCTGCACTCACACACTCCCGGCAGTGGACTCTGGTTTGCAGTTGTTCCTGGAATTGCTCCCGAGAGATCTGAGTTTCCTCATCCCAGAACAGTAATTGGCGGCGGCGACGAGCTGGTGGCCTTTCAGGTGGGGGGACTAGGGGCCTCAGCTGAGTGGGGAGGGGAGGTGGTGGCAAAGCTATCCGTTACTCCTTTTCCTGCCATCCTGGTGGACTGCTAACAGGACCCCATACTCTGCTCCTAGAGGCACCTGGGGAAAGGGCTTGGGCAAGGCCTCCACAGGCTTGTGCAGCTCATACCTTGCGTGAGGGTGCACATCTGGGAGGTGCAGGCCAGACGCAATCGCATGTGGAAAGGGGCATCTTTTACTGATCTGCAGGAAAGCCCTCTGTAAGCTAGCTGTAACCCTGGGCTTGAGGAAGCAGCTCTGGGAAGGGAGAGTGAAGAGAAGGAGGAGGCTTGGAAGGGATGCTACTCACCTCTGGGCTGGGTGGGGCTGGCAGACGCAGCTCTGGCGGGGGAGTCACCTCTGCAACAACACCCAGGGTCCTGGCTGTCTCTCAAGCCCTTTCACCCTTACAGCCACTGGGGCAAGAAGCTGCAGGGTCCTCCCTTCAGCAAGTTGGGATACAAGGCCCTGGTCTGCAGTAGTGCAGAGGTGCTTCCAGGAAAGCACTCCAGGCATGGTGGGCACTTACCAGCCAGTAGGACCCCGGGCTCCCAGCCTATCAGCTTCAGCTCCTCAGGACCTACGACCTCTCCTGGAAGTGGCTCTCCTATCCCTTCCACCCTGGGGGAAAGTGGGCAAAAGAAATTAGGACCCCCTTTCCAGCACCGACCCCCTCCGTGGTCTAGGAATTCCTGCCCTTACTGTATAGGAGCTGGAGGCGAGAGTGGGGGAACTGCAACAGCAACTTCTGGGGCCCGGGGCTCCTCCTTGAACTCTGCAGAGACAGGATCAGCGCTCAGAGGGCAGAAGAGAAGAGATGGGCTGCTGAGCCCCGACAAGAGAGGGCTCTGACCTTCTAGCTCTGGGGGGGCCCTACGAGGCCGGGGAGGCCTGCCTTCCTCTAACAAGATAGCTTCGTCTTCCTCCGCAATCAGCAGGTCCAACTCTCGGCGGCTGATCTCTGGGAGCTCCTGTTCACCCTGTCAAGAAAGAGAACAAGGGGAGGGGACTCAATTCCATTTCTGAAAAAGGCAAGTGGATCCAAGAGAGATTATGGGAGGCACACCACTGGTCTGGGTCCAAGGAGTGGGGAGTGGGGAAAATGGAGAGAGAAGGCAGGACTCTGCAGAGACAAATAGACGCAAGAGGGCTGGGCCTCAGGCCCTGTGTGCAGGGAGATGACTCACCTCGATCTGCAGAATGCGGATGGGCTCTGCCTCCAGGAGGGTGATGGCCTCAGGAGACACCACAGTAACCGGAATCCTCTCTGGAGGGGCAGGCAGGGAAGTCACACCAGCCCTTCTGTTTCTTTCTAAATTCCCACACCCACACAGTGAAGCAAAAGTATGGACTCTGAAGTCACGTCAGCCTGGCTTCTAGTCAGACCCAAGCCAGTCACTGGCAACCGAACCCTAGGTACACTGCTTAACCACTGTGAGCCTCACTTTCCTCATCTGTGAAGTGAGGATAAGAAAATCTGACTGCATAGGACTCTTGTGAGGCAGTGATGAGGTTATACACATAAAGTGCACTTCACAGCACCTGGCTCTTAAGAGAAGCTCAAAGATAGTCATTTCTTTAGCTCTTGGGCCTTTCTGTGCCTCTCACCACAAAGAAGATTCTCTCTGCTGACCTGGCTCCCTGGGCTCTGTAGGAACTTCAGGAGGGATCTCCACAAGAACTCTCTCTGGGGTTGCAGTCTCTAAGAGGTGTCGAATCTTTGGGAAGAGATTGTGAGCAAAAGATAAGAGTTCAGCTTCATCCTTCTGCTTTCCCACTTTCACACCCTTATTTAGACAATGGGTGGTAATCTTTTATGTCTCATTCTTGTGGCATTGACATCAGCATGCAATAAACCCACTTGTCATTTGGTTTCCTTTCCTCCTGTTCCTGCCCTTACCACCCACCCTCCCAATTATCTAGCCTTTTGTCAATTTGCCAAGGATGCAAGAAGCACTGCATCCTTATGTCAAGTGTTGTGGGAGACTGAAGTGAACAGAAAAGATTCTTGATCTTAAGGGGCATATGGTCTAGTTGGGGAGACAAGTTTGTGACCATAACAAGAGTCAAGGCAAAGGACAAACCAAGGCCCCAGTAAAGTGCTGAGTTCACGAACTGCATTTGGTTCTGGCTGGGAGTGGGATAAAGACTTCATAAGAAAAGAGTGGTATTTGAGCCAAGTCTGTAAGGATATGTAGGACTCACTAGAACAGAATGAAGGGTGACCATTATGGTCTAGGGAAACAGCACAAGCAAAGACGTGGATGTGGCATCTTTGGGGCATAGGGGCCAGGCATCCTTTGGGAGCCAAGATGTCCAGGGGATTTCCTGAGAGAAGTGTGGGGATGGCTAGCTCTGAACCAGAGCATGGAGAGCCCCAAATGCTAGTATTCTGCTTGCAGCAGGAGCCACTGTTTGGAGAACCAAGGAAGGGCTTGGGACATTAAGCTGTGGAAGTGTTGGGAATGGATGGAAGACACAGGTAAGGAAGCTCAGTGCAGAGAGATAGTAAGGTCCTGGATTAGGGCCTCAGCAGTGAGAACAGTGTGGACATGAATGGGACATGGGGACAAAAGCTGCCTCCAGTGGGGAGACCACCTATCAGCTTGGCCCTGAGTGGATAAGGGGCTTTGCCTGGATGGGTCCACCATGATAGTCGCCTGCACATCTCCTGTAGGGGAGAGCTATGGCAGGCTCCCTTTCCCTAACCCTAGTGTCAGACTAGCACAGGGCCAACACCTCCCACCTACATTGTCAGCTCATCAGTCAGGTGTTCTGGGGGCATGAGTCCTACCTGAGGGATATCAAAAGGACTGGGAAGTCTGGGATCCACAGACATCATCCCAAAAAAGGGGTCTGGAGCATCTTCCAGGGTCTCCATCATGGCCAAGTGGTTAGGAAGCAGCAGGCTGGGTCTGGGAGAGAAGTTGGCTGTCAAGGACTGAGACTGAGATAGGCTGAGGCCAAGTGGGTAGGTGCTCCACCAAAGGTTGGGTGGTCCCAGTTCCCAGAGGACACTCACAGCTCAGGCTCCACCATATCAATGCGGATCTGCAGCTGGGCCCGATGTAGGCGCTCCAGGATGTGCTGGATGTCCTCTGTGGGCATGGAGGGCAAGGTACAGAGCCAGCCTAGTGGAGGGCCACTCAGCTTTACCCCATCTCTGAGTGTTCCCAGCCTTACCCATGAGGTACTGGCATTGTTGAGAGTAGACACGGACCACGCCAATCTGGAGCTGGGCTGAGAGATAGAGGGAGAAGCGGGGCCGCGGCAGGCCGGGCAGCGGGGGTTGCACTCGAACCAGCACATAATTGATGATTTCCTCGCTGGGGGAACGACGTGTCCTGATCACCGCTGCAGCCAGGAACGGCTCTACAGCCCTGCCCACCGGATCCTCCAACCCACTCCGCCGCACTAAGCGCGTTCCCTGTGCCTTTTTCTGGGCCTTACCAGGTCTTCACCACGTTCACCTTCAAGTATTCGCGCTTCACCAACCGGCTGCCACGTGTTGCTGCCAGCCTGGAGTGGGAGGGGAGTGCGGGAGGGTGCGGATAGAGAGTTAGGCTGAGATCCCTGGGTGCCCCTCCCGGCGCGTCCACCGGCCCCGCCCTTACCAGATGGTGGCAAAGCAGCCAGTGTGGCGCTGGAGCACGTTGGGATAGTAGAACATCGTCCCTCCCGGCGTTCACCCTCGACTCCACCACTCCCTGGTTTGGATCTCAATCGGAATTCTTTAGGACACAGGATTCCCAACACAGTGGGAGAGAAGTAAGGATTTGGACAGGTGGCGCGGCGTGGGGGTGGGAGGGGGTGGAGGGAGGACGCAGAAAGCCAAATTAATGAAGCGATCAACAATTGGCGTATAAACGACTAAGGGTATAACTAAACAGGGACACAGGAATTGGGACCCCCTTCTCCGTGGGCCCCGAGTGGGTCCAGTCTGCACGCCACGTGGCTGCGTCGAACTTACTGGAGCTTCCCGGGTTGGGTTTCAGGTTGGAGACGCGGAGCTTCTAGGGGAGACCCAGACTCCCCTACAGGACTTAGTCCTCAAGCCAAGGGAGCGTCACCGGGCTCCTGGGCCTTGCACTAGCTTGGCCACCAGGGGGTCGCCCTTCCGCAGGACTAGATCCAGACACAGGGAGCACGGGCTCGGTGACTCTGCACCTCGCTCCTTATTAGATAGCAGCTTTTGCCAGGACAGCCAATGGGGAAAGGGGGTCGCGTTGGGAGCCAAGTAGCCTGGGCTCGAGGCAACAGGGTCTCCTGAGATGGCAGCGAACCAATCGGAAGGGCCCTGCGTGCTGATGGGGGGCCATTGTGAGGTGTCGCAACCAATGGGCTCTCGTTGTCGCCTCTAGTAACAGGCGCTCCTCAGCTGGCCAATGATCGGGGAGCAAACCCAGTCTCTTCCCGCAGCGAGCATGGTAACAAGGGCCCCTCGGCTGGTAGGGGAGGTCGGGTCATTTCGGGGGCAAGTGCTCTGACCCTGCTCAGGGTGCCTGAGCTCCGGTTAGACCCCGCCCTTCCCCCCACATTCCACCAAGTCTGATTGTATTCCTACCTGGGGCCTGTCAAGTGCTGGGGAATTAGAAAAGGTGTAAGGTGGCCTTGGAGACACTACAAGTCAGCAAGGAAGAAGTCAGCTTAACACGAAACAGTGAGAGAGGACTTATGGGATCATTTCCTAAACTTGAAGGACATAGGTTGTGGGCATGTCCCATGTGGTCATTTTCCCCAGTGACTGTTCTGGCTGAAGTAGACTAGCTTTTTTGGATGCAGAGCATATTCTCGGCCTACAAAAGCCATTTGTCTGAAACAATTCTTTGTGTAAAATTAAGGTTGTAGTTACAAATGTCTGTGTCCCCATGCCTCCTGCCTTTGCACAGCCATTTCTTTAGCCTAGAATGACTGCCTCTGCCTTGACTCCAAGGCGTGCTTCTTCCTAAGACTTAGCTCTTACTGCAGCTCAGCTGACCCTATCTTATTACCGTGTTTCCCCAAAAATAAGACCTACTCATAAAATAAGCCCTAGTAGGATTTCTAAGCATTTGCGCAATATAAGCCCTACCCCGAAAATAAGACCTAGTGATGGGCGTGGCTACACAGCATATCTGCACAACCCGTGCATTTCCTCACGGAGCGGAGCGGTAAAGAAGACGAGCAGCCCTTCTCATCTGCCACATGAGAGCTCTGTTGCTTAACATGAGAGATTAGGGCCAATGGTTCTAAAGGAAATAGAGTCAGAAGAAATTCAGGATGGAATTCGGGGTTTGGAGAGTTATGATGTTCCAGAAGAAGACGACTTAACTCTATTTGAATAAATGTAGATTGTTGTACCGTACTTAAAAAAAATAACACATCCCCTGAAAATAAGCCCTAGGGTGTCTTCTTGAGGAAAAATAAATATAAGACCCTGTCTTATTTTAGGGGAAACATGGTACATTCCCCTTCAACTGGGAGCTCTTGAGTTTGGGGTCTTGTTTTTTCAGTGAGTGCCTGGTGTCTAGCTCAGTAAATATTTGTCAAACGAATGTGCAGTTGCCCTATATTTACAACCACGATGTCATATCTGAAAAGGATTTAGAGATCTAGTCTAAGCCATGCCTTTACAGATGAGAAAACAGAGGCCCATACAGATTGTTTCTCCCACACCACACAGCTCCTTTGTGACGACCTGATTGGCAACTCTGCTTTCTTGAATTCCAGTGTTCCCAAACCCTATCCCACTGTGCTCAGCTAAATCGATTTCTACCCCATGAAAGAACAGTCTTGCTAACGGGCTAAAAGAAACTAAATTTCTAACTGGCAGTCACTTAGAATAGCATAAACCCTGCCTCTAAGGTTAGTAACAGGAATGAATATCTCTCCTACAGAGATGTTTACAGCAATTAAAAGAAGCTGAGCTGACAAAAGAAGGTATAAATCCTCTTAACATTAGCTAGAGCTGGTCAATTCACATTCTGAAAGAGGAAAAGTTTCCAGGAGAGGGGAGCAAAGGGGTGACTATCTGATGGACTGTCATCAAAATTCACTGCCTATAAAAAGGGTTTTGAGTATTGTTTAAACAGCCTTGAAAAAGTTCCTGAGTGGATAGCAGGAATGCAAACTTTCCCCGCTTCCTCAAGAAGAGATGGTACTAGATGCCACCTGCTATCAAGAGGAAAGAAGAAACTAATTTCTGCTATCAATCTGCTATGTGATAAATAGAAAAACCCAACACAGCAGTTTCTCAGCTGCCTTCTGCTAGTTGGGCTACAGTCATAACCCGTAACCCGTCTTCAGCCTGCCCTAGTAAAGAGTCAGAGTGGTTTGGCCTCAGGGCCAGTGCCTCTCTTATTTCCAGCACTGTGCCTTCTCTCTTCTCAGGGAGGGAAAATAAACTTTGTGCTAAACTTTGTCTGAGAAATCTTTCTCACCCATGTGTGGACTTCACACCCTAACAGTATGATGCTTACAAATTGTTCCAATCACTGTACATAAGTTATCATTGTTTATAAGTGTTCTTTATGGGACACAAAGATGATAAAGTAGGGACACCAGCCTTATGGTACTTAGAACCCAGTTTAGGAGATAAGCAAGAAACATAAATTGTTCATTCACTCATCTATTTGTTCAATTCAGCAAGTATTTATTATGTGTCTATCACATAATAGACACATGCAAGCACTCCTCTAGGGTACTGGGGTTACAGCAAGGAACAAAACAAGTCCTTGTTCTCATGAGCAGGGAAGGAGAGATGATAACAAATAGATAAACAGAAATATGTGAAGTGGTGATTAGTGCTATGAAGAAAAATGAAGCAGCATAGGACGATAAGGAGGGCTGCTATTTAGGCAGGGTACTCAGGGAAGCCTTGCCCTCCTCTGAAGAGAGGATATTTGAAGAGGGGACTAGTCATGTGCCTACTTGAAGAGTATTTTAGATAACAGAACCAGCAAGTGCAAAGATTCTGAGGGAGAAATGTGTTTGTTGGTGGGTTCAAGAAGCCTGGAGCAAAGCAACCCAGGGGAAGAATGGCAAACGGAAAGGTTAGACAGGAGGCTGGGGCCACATCACAGGACCTTGGAGGTCATTGTAAGGATTTGGGCTTTTACCCAGAGCGAGTTGGGAGGGAGCCAATGGAGGTTTTTTTTTTTTTTTTTTTTTTTTGAGACAGAGTCTCACTCTGTTGCCCAGGCTAGAGTGCCATAGCGTCAGCCTAGCTCACAGCAACCTCAAACTCCTGGGCTCAAGCAATCCTTCTGCCTCAGCCTCCCGAGTAGCTGGGACTACAGGCATGTGCCACCATGCCCAGCTAATTTTTTTCTGTGTATTTTTAGTTGGCCAATTAATTTCTTTCTATTTTTAGTAGAGATGGGGTCTCACTCTTGCTCAGGCTGGTTTTGAATTCCTGACCTTGAGTGATCCTCCTGCCTTGGCCTCCCAGAGTGCTAGGATTACAGGCATTAGTCACCACACCCGGCTCAATGGAGGGTTTTGAGCAGAGGAGTGACATAATCAGATTTATATGATAAGAGGCTCTCTATTGCATCGAGAATAGGCTGAAGGCAGACGACAGTGGAAACAGAGAAGATGTGACAGTGGAAACAGAGAAGATGTGAAGAAAGTAGGAAGAGATACAAGAGATAATAGTGGTTTGTTCCAAAGTGTGGTTGGTGGAAGCAGAAAGAAGTAGTCAGATTCTGGATGTATTTTGAAGGAATAATGGCAGGCTCTGCTGGTGAATTGGATGTAGGCTATGAGAGAAAACAGAAGTCAGGGAGGTAATTTAGACCATGTACAAAGAAGGTCCAGGAAGGATTTCAGCAAGTTGAGGGCACAACAGTGCTTGTGCATCTCAGTACTCAGTACCTAATGTCTTCACTGCTGGTGCAACCCTTTTAGGCTCTTGGTTTCCCAGGAGGATAATGGACAAGACTGAAAGGAAGAAGAAAGGTCCATGGAGGCAGGGAGGCTCAAAGGCAGCACTGAGACTTGTCAAGTGAGACAGCAAGAAGATCCTAGGAGGATTCAGTATCTAGATTTGATCATGTCAGTGAGCCACTGAGGGTTTGTATGAGTGAAATGATAGGAAGAAGTCTGGAAAGCTAGTCAAGGTGTCATGTGCAAGGGAGAAGTGGAGGCTGTGGCAGTCAGGTAAGTGGTGACCTGGCTTGGAACTAGCCTGGTGGGAGTGAGTGTACAGAAAAGTACATGACAAGCGGCCTTGTGAAGGAAGAATTTCCGATTTGGTGGCAAAATGAAGACAAGGGATAAGGAAGTGTTAGCAGATTTGGAGTCCTCAAATCTCAGCAAAGAGGGTGTTGGTGACACGGTAGTCTAGGCCAGATTGCCTTTTTCTTTATAAAATGGGGTACTCGCTACATTGCCCAGGCTGGTCTTGAACTCCTGGGCTCAAGCAATCCACTCACCTCAGCCTCCTGAGTAGCCGGGATTACAAGTGCACACCACCATGCTCGGCTCTGGAGTCTTTTATGGGGCTGAGGTAGAGTGAGGAATCCAGTTTGGGAGTTCCCTCTTGTTAGGGTGACAGTACACTTCACGCTGGGGGAAGAGGCACCACTGATACGTCTCCATAGAGACAGAGGCAGCAGATACAGGTTCAGCAGCTCTTTTCTCTGCTCTCAGGTCCCAGGGCCTATAGACCAGGCGTCCTCAAACTACAGCCTGCAGGCCACACACACGGGTGTATTGCCCGTTTGTTTTTTTACTTCAAAATAAGATACATGCAGAATGCATAGGAATTTGTTCATAGTTTTTTTTTAAACTATAATCCGGCCCTCCAACGGTCTGAGGGACAGTGAACTGGCTCCCTGTTTAAAAAGTCTGAGGACCCCTGCTCTAGACCATAGTTTCAGGTCAACCTCAAGTGTCTTCTGTTCATTTAGACCTCAGTCCAGAGGCTAATCCCAGGTCCATTGTTGTTGAGGCCCAAATCAGAGGCCACTAGCCAAGAACTGTGGAGCCCAGATTTTCTCACATGAAGCTGGTGGATACAGGCCGGGCGAAGTGGCTCACGCCTGTAATCCTAGCACTCTGGGAGGCCAAGGTGGGCAGATCGCTCAAGGTCAGGAGTTTGAAACCAGCCTGAGCAAGAGTGAGACCTCGTCTGTACTATAAATAGAAATAATTGGCAAAAAAAAAAAAAAAAAAAAATATATATATATATATATATAATTAGCTGGGCATGGTGCATGCCTATAGTTCCAGCTACTCGGGAGGCTGAGGCAGCAGGATTGCTTGAGCCCAGGAGTTTGAGGTTGCTGTGAGCTAGGCTGATGCTACGGCACTCTAGCTCGGGCAACAAAGTGAGACTCTGTCTCAAAAAAAAAAAGCTGGTGGCTACACTGCCTGACTATAGATTCAGTGGCCCTCTTAGTGGCTGACCCCAACCCTCTCCCTAATCTTGGTTTCCTAGAGGGTACTTCTTCATAGAGTGTCAGGCCTAGAACCCACAGAGCCCAAGCAGCATCCTCACCAGAACCTGTGGGCAGTGGGGAGGAGAGGGGGCTGGAGCTGTCTACAGGGAGAGAAGCCAACTGCTCTGCTCCTCAGTTTACATCTCTACTGTCTCCCAGGACCAACTTCTCTCAGAAAATCAGATACTGCTTCCTCTTTCAGTAACATTTTATTTTAAATCCTTAGTGAAGATCTAAGAGGAAAATATAAAGTGCTTGGCTTTAGAGTTGGGGATTAGGGGAAAAGGGAAAGGCCCCCTGAGTTCATACCATTTGGAATTTCCCAGTTCCTTAGAGATGAAAGACAGTTTATCTCAAAGATTTTTTTACAAAAAATAAAAAAAAAATTATCCTTGAGTTCTCCACCAGCCAGCGTATGTGAAAAAGCTCAAGGACATAACTATCACAGTCAGCCACTGAGAATTATCACAAAGGAAGCGGGTTTGTCAACAGGGTAGAGAATGAGTCTGTTTCAAAGGAGTCAGGAGGAACAGAGAGGTGAGGTGGAAGGTGGGTCCCCAGGCTCTACATCAGGGACAGAACGGCTGCCCGTTCCTCTGAAGTCTCCAGTAAGTGTCGGGCAAAGGCCTGCTCCATCTGTGCAGGAAGAGATGGGGAAGAGGGTATCAGTCAGTGAAGTCAGGGGGGACACTACCCCCAGGAGCTGCTTCCCTGCCTGGAGACCCCTTCCCCTCCTGGAATACCACTGTCCCACCCCCATCAGACAGACTACTCTGCCTCTGCTCTGAACTTACCCGCACTGTGATAAGATTCTGTGACATATAGCTGGGGCCAGGGCTCTCCTCCCAGAAATTCAGTGTTACCTGGAACTTGGGTTGGGGGCCCAGGCCCTGGAGGTAATTGGCCAAGTCTGAAAGAGAAAGGGTCAAGGGTTAGAAGAAAGAAAAGAGAGGAGAGGGCCACATAGTGGGGAATTCCCATAGTGAGGAATCCATGATGGAGGCGGGAAGCACGTGGAGACCAAGGCCAGCGCAGGAGCTATAGAGTTAGGAGAAATGTCGGGAACTAAGTGCTACTCAGCCATGTACAAACAGGAACGGGTGCCCCTTGCTCAAATAAGAAGTGTTTAGAGTAGCAGACTACAGTACAACTTGAAAAGCTCTCCCCTAGGAGAGTCCTGACTGGCAGCAGCCCTGGCTGCTAACACTGAGTGCTCACATCATTGCTGCTTGCTCACACCTCCCAGTGCTAGGGTGTCCCTGGCCCTGGGAACACCCACACTCTGCACCCCCTATTCTCCTGGCCCCACTCCTAAGGTCGGATTTAGAGTTGAGTGGGGGCTGGAACTGAAACTACAGGAGGAGACAGGAGTGAGGGGCGACCCTAGGGGATGCCTACAGCATGGCAGAGACAGGGTGCAGTGGGGCTGGGGGTGTGACATGAGCCAGCTCTCTCAAACGTGTGGATGGCTGTGTGCCAGTGTGTATGCAGAAGAGGGCCATGAGCCTCAAAATCTCTGTGCCGACTTGTCTGTGCATCTTCACAATTATTATATGCTTTAGTGTGATGCTGCTCCCCATGAAGTGACATTCTTATGCTGGACTCCACCTGAACCTCATCTTCCATGGCCTTGGCTGGGGAAGGAGAGCTGCCAGGCTAAGTGTATGGTCACACAGGATGTGCACCACCCAAGAGCAGGGGGGCCATGCACAGACCACAATTGAGGATCTGCTAACAGGGTGGTGACAGGACCCACCGAGTTGGGCCCAGGAGGTCCTAAGAGGTGGCGGGAGACTCAGGTGCCTAGCAGCAGCAGCCTCACCTCTGCAGAAAGAGGTGGTTCTGAAGAGCTCCACGCACTCATTGCTGGGCAGCAGATGTGGGCCTGGCCCAGGCGGGGCCTGTGGTGCATTCCAGGAGATGGGGATGGGGCAAAGGCGCTGCACGAAGAGGCCTCGGGAGTTGCTGGCCACCAGGACACCTCTCTCAAGCTGGCTCAGCAGGCGCTGTGTGGGCTCCAGTGGGTCAGGCTTGGGAAACACCACTTGCTCCATGCTGCTCTCAGAGCCTGAGGGCTCAGCCACAAGGCGGCAGTCCAGGCTCTGCACCTGGGCCTTGCCCACCACGCGCCCGCTGTAGATGAAGGTGAGCAGCAGCGAGTAGTCTGGGGATAGAAGAGCCCAGCTGCACCTGGTGCTGGAGGAGCACACAGGCTGTCAGCAGCCCCCTTCTCCCCAGTGGTACATCTTCACTTCTGCCCCCTCACCAGCCGGGGGCTTCTTGTTAGGCTTTCCTATCACTCAGGAGAGTAACTAACACGGGAATTCACCCTGAGGTCTCAGGGCTTATGCCCAGAGTCTTGGAGTTTGCAAGAAGGTCCCTGGAGACTGGGCCTCTATTTAGCCCAAAGAAATCAATGTCTTAATGTGGATCTCCAGGAAACAGAATGTGTAGGGTGGTATTTGAGAAGCAAGCTTTCTGGTGTCTGGACAGGCAAGTGGAATTCTCACTGCCTAGAAATCTGTGCCTCAGTCTATGGTAAGGCGGGCTCAGTTTGCTGCAAGCCCTGACTGCTTAGACAAGACAAACATAGTCAAAGGGAGAAGACCCAAGGGGAAAAGGGGCAGGAAAGAGTTAGAAATGTCAAGTACCTGACTCTGGAGGGGGCAGAAACTCCGGGGACACATGATCCCCTTGAAAGGGGTCCTCAGTTGTGTCTGCACCTGGAAGGGAGGCAAAGGCACTGGTCATCCAAACTGGGACTGGGGAGTCCCTAGAGCCAGTGGGTATGACATAGGGGATGACACAAGAGACAGGAGAGGTGGTACCTTCCTGTGGTTCAGGACTGTGGCTGCTGCCGCTGCTGCCGCTGCTGCCGCTGCTACTGCTGCTGTCTGAATGGGATGCTCCCCCAGCGGCCCCTGCCTCCTCCTGCAGACACAGAGTCTGTCATTGGCCCACCTCTCCCTCTCGTTACTGTCCTGCACTCAGGCCCACCCAGTTCCTTGCCCAGCTCTCACATTATCAAGGGGGCCCTGAAGCAAGGAGGGACTGTGTATGCAGTTCTTCATGGCACCCTCTTCCTCCTCCTTCTCAGAAGACACAGAACTGTAGTGTCGCTTTGATGGTGATTTCTGGATTCCTGGTTGGGCTGTGGAATTGTTGAGGGGGAGAGAAAGGTCAGGGACTTACACAGGCACAGAAGGTAAGGGAGGGGTGTTAGACAGGGAAAGGATGGGCAGGACTAGGAGGGGGAGCCTGGAGAGCAGCTCCCCAAGGGCAGGGACAGGCCAGAACCCTGAGGGGCCCCAGGGAGGGTCACATCTATATCCTTCCTCCCCCCTCTGCTGATTCCAGGAGTGGCTGGGCAAGGGGACACTCACAAGAGAGGGTTCCTGGCGGTAGTAGCCGATACACCTTGTAGGGCTCTGCAACATCCATACGGCCGTTCTCGGGAACTTCTTCAAATTCAGGACTCTTGTTGAGGGCACAGCGCAGGCGAGTCTTCCAGGTAGCAGGGCCTCCTGGGTCCCCTTCCTTGTACTTTCCCTTAAATATTGCCCAGGCCTAGGAAAGAGAGGAAGGGAAGAGGCAGAGTGTTACAGACCCCAACTGCCCCTCCAATAGGGCTGCCCTTAACAGGCGTGTGGCCTGAGCACTCACAAAGTCCCTGAGCTCAGTAGGGCTCGTGGCTGGGTTTATGCTCTGCTGCTGCCATCTTGAAATCCTAATTTTTCTTTTTTTTAATTAATTAATTTATTTTTTGAGACACAGTCTCGCTTTTTTGCCCAGGCTAGAGTGAGTGCCATGGCGTCAGCCTTGCTCACAGCAACCTCAAACTCCTGGGCTGAGGCGATCCTCCAGCCTCAGCCTCCCAAGTAGCTGGGACTACAGGCATGCGCCAACATGCCCAGATAATTTTTTCTATATATATTAGTTGGCCAATTAATTTCTTTCTATTTAAGTAGAGACAGGGTCTCGCTCTTGCTCAGGCTGGTTTTAAACCCCTGACCTTGAGCAATCCGCCCGCCTCGGCCTCCCAGAGTGCTAGGATTACAGGCGTGAGCCACTGCGCCCAGCCGAAATCCTAATTTTTCAATGAGGCCTCCCTCCGCATTTTAATTTTGTATTGGGCTCTGCAAATGATGCAGCTGGGTCTACTCTCCTTTATCTGAGTGAGACCCAGGAGACACAGACCCTTGAGGGTGTACACTCCATCCCTCATTCGGAGGGGATGGTGGTTCCCAGGCCCTTTCACCTTGAAGAAGGCAGCGTCTTGGTCCTCACGGAAGTCCTGCTTGCCTGCATGCTTCCAGGGAATTCGGAACATGGTCTTAGTGGTATCATGCCAGCACACCCCTGGGAACTGCCCACTCTCCACTTGTTCCACCACCCAGTTGCGGAGTTTTCGGGTACAACGCACCCTGCCTGATGCCATCCTGGGGGATGAGAGGAGTAGGAAGCATCAGAACTACCCTTTGGGAGAGAACATCTCCTGTGACCCTGGCCACTGGGGCTGGATTCTGACAATGGGCTCCAGAGACCACAACTATCTTCTTTTGGCTCCAGACAAAACTCAACATTCTCTGAGACAAAAGTGTTTTTACTCTGCTATTGTTAGCAATTACAAAAACAAAAAACTCAAAACATTCTTTTTAACATTCTAAGCTGTGACATTTAGGAGGAAACCTTAGGCATTGGTCTTAATTTTAGAACTTTTAAGGAATATATTGTTTGGGAGACAATTCCCCTGGTGTTCTGTTCCTGGTGAGAGGCCCTGTCTACATTTCCAAGCACTTGCTGAGGAAGTATCTGCTTCAGAGATGTCTCAGCCCTCTTCAAACACCCTCCAACCTATACAACCACAACCTATGCTTTGCCTCCCATCCTTCTCCTATGCTTGCCCCAAGGGTAGGTGGGTTAGGAAGCTGGGGCAGGGGTGGAGCTGCACCAGAAGTGGGCAGGGCCAGGAAGCAAACAAACAGGGTCAGTTGACGTTGGGGCAGAACCTTCCTCTCAGAGCAATCCAGCAGGCCTTCCTGTCCTTTGCCTATACATACAGCCAGTATCCCTTATCAGTCTCTCAATCTCATTCTCAGGCCAAATCTCCTGCTTCCTAACTCACAGGCCTCTATCCCTCAGTCTAGCAGAGAAGATCCCAGGAGTCCCCACCCCCCACCTCCAATCTGGTTGGCCCTTCCAGCCCTAGATCCCAGGCTCATTCTCCTCTTTGGCTGATCTTACCTGAGCTGCTGTCCAGGCTGTCCCAGCGCTCGGCGAAACTCAGCTTAGTTCCTTGGCTAGGTGGCTTCGGAATCTCTCCACCCCTTGCTATAGTCCCCGCCCTAAGTTTCAGTTCTCCTCCAGGGAGGTCCTGTTCCCAGAAATCACGTGGTCTCAGAGTTGCAGGGCAGCCTACGGCCACCAGGGGGAAGCAGCATCTGACAACCTCACTATCAGCAGCAAGAGGACCTGGTTCTGCAAGACTGGCTCCTGGCTCCTGCCTTCCAATCTCTTCCTATGGTGTTCCCCTTCCTCCCTCACATACTCTTTGCTTGTGTGTGACCTCTATCTGACACTGTGGCTTCCCTAGGGAGGTCATGGTTTCCTGGAGTCTGGCCTAGGGCCTCTGGATTGCTATGTACACCTGTGCATCTGTGTTCCCCCACAGTGCCTGCTTGGTACATATTAGGTGACCCAAATACCAGTTGAATTTGATGAAAGGAAGGCAGTGTGGAGGGAGCCCAGACCAGGTGGCTGGATGGTGAGGACCTCCCTAGCCCATCTGTAGTGTCAATTCCTTCCTGGCCCCGAGTCCAGAAAGGGTCAGGCAGTAAGCTTCAGGGGTCCCTTTCAGCAAAGCTCTATTCACCCCCCTCTTTCCCTGGTGCCCCTAGATGGTGGGGCCAGGAAGAAGGACCACCAAGAAGCCTGGGCAATAAGATGCTTCTTTATTGGTGCTGGAGCTGTTCCTGAGGGAGTCAGGCCACAGGACCCTTGCCCCGGCTACTTCCTCCTGCGGGGGATACTCTGTCCCAAGGGCACCTCTTCTGTCAGCTTCTGCAGAAGGAGAGAGAAGGTAACGATAATGAAAGCCTGGAGCTCAGACTCAGGCTGAGACAGGTGACTTCTGGAGGGTGGGGTGAGAGGCAAGATTGGGTGAAGGCTGTACCTGTAACAGGCGGGCGTGGTAGGCAGGGGCATCCTCTCCAGCCAATGGCTGGGGGCGCACGTGCAGGTAGCGTTCAGTGGCTGTCTCCAGCTCCTCAACCTCATACAGGGAGGCTGGGTCCAGGGAGTGGGCATTGATGAGGCTCACAAGATATTCTTTGTAATGTGCCCTGGGGAGATAAGGGAGTGGAATACTTGTTCTTCTGTTGGCTAATATTAACTGAGTGTGCCGAGTCCTCGGCTGGGCACTGGGATACTCAAACAAGAATGACAAGCCCTGGCCAGGTGCAGTGGCTCACGCCTGTAATCCTAGCACTCTGGGAGGCCGAGGCGGGCAGATTGCTCGAGGTCAGGAGTTCAAGACCAGCCTGAGCAAGAGCGAGACCCCATCTCTACTATAAATAGAAAGAAATTAATTGGTCAATTAATATATGTAAAAAAATTATCCGGGCATGGTGGCACATGCCTGTAGTCCCAGCTACTCGGGAGGCTGAGGCAGAAGGATTGCTTGAGCCCAGGAGTTTGAGGTTGCTGTGAGCTAGGCTGACGTCATGGCACTCACTCTAGCCTGGGCAACAAAGTGAGATTCTGTCTCAAAATAAATAAATAAATAAAAATTAAAAAATAAAGAATGACACGCCCTGCCTGTTGCACTTGTAGGCAGCACCAACCTGTGCACATTGCTTGCTACTACCTATCCATGCCCTTGCCCAGAGAGCCCCCTCCCTTGCACTCCTTGCAGGACCTACTGCTCCCAGAGACCCACTTTACTGCCTGGGTACGCCCTCACCACTCCTACCGCCACGCCCAACACCATGCTGCTCTGTGTCCTGCCAGCACTCACTGGCAGAGGCCGGCATAGCCAGCTGGAGTTTCCTTGCCACAGGCTTCATCCCTGAGCCCATTGGGAACCTCTTTCTGCTCCATCACTCGACAGCCACCTATGGGAGAGAGAAGAAAGGGACCCTTTGTTGGGAGGAGGCCACTGACCACAAAGCCCCAGGAGAACTAGAATATCCATGGAGCAAGGAAGGTAGCCTCCAGGGAGGAGAGCGAGCACAGGAATTCCTGCTCTCCCAGTGGTAGGTACTTACAGATGCCATCAGCAGCAGACAGACTCTGATACAGAGGCAGGGACCTTGTCCCTAGTTTTATCTAAGCTAGCTTTTGGCTCATAAACACATATTCCCTTGAGACAGCTCTTTTGGTTGTTATTTAGCTCTTGTATAGTAAATTTATTCTGTGAAGGTCTTACCTCTATTTTCTAAAAATAATTTTTAAAGAATTTATTTTAGGGCCGGGTGCGGTGGCTCACGCCTGTAATCCTAGCACTCTGGGAGGCCGAGGCGGGAGGATCCCTCAAGGTCAAGAGTTCGAAACTAGCCTGAGCAAGAGCGAGACCCCATCTCTACTAAAAATAGAAAGAAATTAATTGGCCAACTAAAAATATATAGAAAAAATTAGCCAGGCATGGTGGCACATGCCTGTAGTCCCAGCTACTCAGGAGGCTGAGGCAGGAGGATTGCTTGAACCCAGGAGTTTAGAGGTTGCTGTGAGCTAGACTGATGCCATGGAACTCTAGCTCAGGCAACAGAGAGAGACTCTGTCTCCAAAAAAAAAAAAAAAAATTATTTTAAAGACTACAGCACATGGTATTCCCAGGCTATATCCCATCCAAGTTCTAACAAGGCCCTAACCTGCTTAGCTACTGAGATCATATGAGGTCGGGTGCATTCAGGGTGGTATGGCCATAGACTTACCTCTATCTACACAGTAAGAAATAGGATAGATTAGAACCATACATGACACCTTTCTGTTGCCCTCATGGAACTTATAACAGTGCCCTGCAACTGGCAGGTCTCATTAGATATCACGGAGTTAATTAATGAATCATTATCATTTGGGAATGGATAAAAAAATTAGTATTAAGGGCTTCATGGGTGTTAGGTGCTCTAATGATTTCTTATGTAAACTAGCTCAGCTACAAGGTGCCTATTACCTCATTTTATAGAGGGAGGCCCCGGGAGGTTAATTAACTTGTCAAAGGGCACACACCAAGTAATGCTAGACCCAAGGTTCCCCTTTCCTGTCACACGGTGGGAGCCCAGCACACCACCTCCCCTTCCCAAAGGCTTGTTCTGACACTCACCTCCAGGGACTGCCCGGGCCCCAGCTGGAGGCTCTGTATTAAACATGACGTTATTGTCCTGAGGAGGAGCAGAGACAGATAGGCATTATGTTCCCCTGATGCTAGTCCCTTCTGCATTTCCCAGCAAAAAGCCTTTTCCATTCTTGCCCAGCCTGGGCCCTGCCTTCCTCTCCTGGGCAACCCACAAACCCAGCTGGGTTGGCCACCTCTGACCTGTAGCAGCTTTTGGAGCCGGGGAGCAGTCCAGTCCCTCAGGTAGAAGAGGCAGTCTCTAGGGTGATGGCCGTGAAGGGACTTTTTCACCCTGCAGTTAGGGTCTGGACATTTCTGGCGGAAACCCAGATGGGAGAAGGGAAGTTGGAGACTGTTGGGGTCCTGGCCTCTCAGGAACCCCTGCGTGAGGGGTGTAGGGGTGGGGGGAGATGGAGACACTGGAGGGTCTGGAGTGAGCAAAGGGGGAGAGGGGACAGAGAGAGGTGCTTTACATCCCACTGACTTCTTCTTCTCTCCCCTGGGCTGCTCAGTGGCCTCTGCCCATCAAACCCAATGGCAGCCCTCCGCCCTTCTAGCCCTTCCCCATCCTCTGGGCTCAGGCTCACATTCTTGGCGTAAAAGGCATTGTAGCAGCCACTGCAGAACTGGTGGCGACACTGGGTGCAGTGAAAGTGCATGCAGCCTCCTCGGGCCAATGCGTACGAGAACTTGCACTTGGGACAATCTGCAAGGGACAAGACGTCAGGGCTGGGGCTGCCACTGCAACTCAAAGTCCTCAGAAAGAGAGTCACTGGCAGTGACAGACTACTGAGCAAACAGACCAAGGGGTGGGGGGCAGGCTTACCAATGCCATTTTCCTGAAGATACATTGCCAGGCCCTGGGCCTGGTATTCTGGGTCATTGGTGCGTTTCCAGTTCTGGAAATCCTCGCAGCTCCGACCTCGGTGCTGCTCCTCCCACTGCCAGACGGAAAGCAGGCTTCATGTGGAAGGTCCATCCCATGCCCTGGCCCTTCCTGCTGCTCCTCCACTCTCATCCAGTGGTTCCCAGCTTAGTTTACATCATTGTCATCTGCCATTTGCTCAGACCCTAATCTGAGGGGCTGTCCTTGGATCTTTCATTTCCTCATACTACCCCATATTCATTAGCAAGTCTTGTTTCCACTACCCAAGCCCATCCCAATCCTGTACCCCTGCTGCTACCACCTTACTCCAGGCCATCATCAGAACTTGCCTTAGTTATAGTCTCTCTGCTTCTGACTCCTGCTTCCCTACTACACATTCTCCCCACTGCAGCCAAAAGGCCTGCAAAAGTATAAACCTGGTAGCTTGAACAGTATTGGTGGTAATCTAGTTTTGAGCCTTGGGGTTGGGGTCTGTGTTCACTTTATTACGTTTCATAATGTAGGCCAGGTGCAGTGGCTCACACCTGTAATCCTAATACTCTGGGAGGCCCAGGCGAGTGGATCACTTGAGCTCAGGAGTTTGAGATCAGCCTGAGCAAGAGCGAGACCCCGTCTCTACTAAAAATACAAGGATATTAATTGGCCAACTAAAAATATATAGAAAAAATAAGCCGGGCATGGTGGCGCATGCCTGTAGTACCGACTACTCAGGAGGCTGAGACAGAGGGATTGCTTGAGCCCAGGAGTTTGAGGTTGCTGTGAGCTAGGCTGATGCCACAGCACTGTAGCCCAGGCAATAGAGTGAGACTCTGTCTCCAAAAAAAAAATCAAAAACAAACATAATGTAGATGAAATTTTTTTGATATCAAACAATGAACTTCTTAAAAGACAAAGGAGTGGCGGGCACGGTGGCTCACACCTGTAATCCTAGCACTCTGGGAGGCTGAGGTGGGCAGATTGCTTGAGGTAAGGAGTTTGAAACCAGCCTGAGCAAGAGCGAGTCCCCGTCTCTACTAAAAATAGAAAGAAATTAATTGGCCAACTAATAGATATAGAAAAAATTAGCCAGGCATGGTGGCGCATGCCTGTAGTCCCAGCTACTCAGGAGGCTGAGGCAGAAGGATTGCTTGAGCCTAGGAGTTTGAGGTTGCTGTGAGCTAGGCAGACGCCACGGTACTCACTCTAGCCTGGGCAACAAAGCAAGACTTTGTCTCAAAAAAAAAAAATAAAAAAGACAAAGGAGAGAGTATTGCCCCTTGCTTCATCTCCGAATGAAGGCTAACACCTGCCTCACCTGGCCTTCAGGGCTGTCGTGATCTGGCAGCTGGCTCTTCTCTGACCACTTGCCACCTTTCACCCCTGCTCTCTAGGCTCCAGTCACACACCACTTCTTTCTGACTTTGGCCTTTCCATGTGTTGTTATTTCTGTCACAAATACTCTTTGTGTAGCTGGCTTCTACTTAACTTTCAGACCTGAGCTTCAATTACATCATTTTAGAGAGGAATTGTCTGACCTCTCTACCCTAAGTAGATCCATTCTGTTATTCTTTGTCTCAGATTCCTAGTTGTTTTCTTCATGGAACTTGCACCGGTATAAAATGAGTTCCTCCCTCCTTCTCTCTCTTTCCTTCCTTCCCTTTCCTTGCTCTCCTTTCTTTCTCCCTCATTTCTTCC